TTTGTTGAACTTTTAGTTGAAATGACCTTAAACAGAATAATGTGTGAAGTTTTGTTAACCAAACATAATGATTAATCGGCTCTTAGAAATCCTCTCATCTCAGTCTAATTCTGTCAAATAAAATTCGCTGATTCACGAGCTGTTTCCTAGATGTAACCATGTAGTTTTTTAAAACTATTTCTAATATCAAATAAAATTATTTGTCAACTTTTCACTTTCATACTAGAGCAACTCAAATTATTAATTTGTATTTAATTGTTTGACTGAATATCGAACGAAATTTTGAAGGTAACTTTATTAACTTTGACCAAATTAAATTGATCGTCTACTCAATGTGCAGATGTATCGACTTTGTTTACAATCAATATCTTGGTTATTCAAAATAATAAACGAGTGGTTACAGTTTCATAGGGGTTATTACATTTAAACAACGCCTGATTCTTATAATTGAGATCATGAACCGATTGATGTTAGACCACCATTGAAAACTTGGACTCACTGGACGGCCGTTTCGTCCAATTGTGGGACTCCTCAGCAGTGCGCATCCACGATCCTGCTCGCGGGATTCAAACCCTGCTTCTTTGACAATAATTCGAATGTCTAACATCATTTATTTTAACTCAAGTACAATACGCTATCCGCACTCGAAAATACTTTTTTTTTCTTATTGAATAAATTTACATACTAATTTTAAATACATATTCTACTATCTGCTATCTTTTACAAACAGTATGTGTTTACCAGCTAAGCTATCACTCAGCAATTCGATAATCAGTTTAATCAAATAAGCTAAGTATTATAGCCAACGTTCGAATATAATCAGTGCCTGATGAGTATGAAAAATGTGAACAAATGAAGAGTGATTGAATTTAGTCAGTGAGAAATCCGGTCTAGGTTTCCTGCTAATTGGCATTAGTCAGCAAGATTTACCTGTAATCTTGGAGGGATTGATACCGTAGGAATCAAATCCGAGGAACCTAGGTTTATTGATCTGTAAGAATGCGATATTTACAACCGAGCAATCAGGGTATTGGTCGATATCATGTGCATCTAGTCCTTCATCTCGACTGTATCCTATTGATTAAATTATAATGTGGCCTCTGATTTTAAAATGAAACCATAAAGCCCATATAACACCCAAACCATTAAAATAAACACTATTCAGTTGCTTTTGTGTTACCTCATTACTGGTGGAAGGTTGTATTTGATAAGAAAATGTATTTTGTTTCTTCTCTGCTAACTTTAGGTCAATTAAGTACCATATATATACTATTATTATTATTATTATTATTATTATTATTATTATTATTATTATTATTATTATTATTATTATTGTTATTAAGAAATAAGACAACCAGCTTGACTAGTTCAAAACAAACACGACCTAATCTGACCTTATTTTTATTTAAGAATTCAGTCTAGTATTCTTCGCTTTACCACTCTAGATGGGTTTCATCTTACAAGGAATTAATTAATAAACAAATGAAAATGAGTAATAAAAGTTACTTTCTCTCTCTCTGTCTCTGAGTCTATGCAAATGAACATTAAAACAATGTTCGAATTTCATTGCCAACTAGTAAGGATTGAGTAAATTGACATAATCTCCGCAGAGAAAATGCCAAATACTTTGATGACAATTAGAACTTGCATTTTTGAATGAATATTTCTTTCTGTTTAACAGTCGTTAGTTGAATATAAAGGCAGTAATACCCTCAATACTTATCATTTCAAATAATATCAGAGAATTTACACTATCATTTCAAATGTTAAGAGTGACTGATTGAGTTTTTAATACAAAAAAGAGCTTTATATGTTGCTTAAAATTGTGAACTAATTTACATTTGTAAACCAGAACTCCGTCTCGTAGGCTTCTACTGAACCCGAAGTAATGATTCCGTTTGTAGAAAATGTAATTCAGTCTGAACAGCATATGCATTGATGTCTAATTCATTCACCCTCCACCAGATGTTCGAATAACAGTAAAATTATCAGTATAGGGTTGTGGAGATTGTTGAGTTTCATTTGAGATAGTGAACCGATCAATGTTAGACCACCACGGTAAACCTAGAAGAACTGGACGGCCGTTTTCTCCTTAGCAATTTCTTAATGGTTTTCTATGATGTTAATTATCAAATGGAACAATCTCCACAAAATCTATTCACCGTACCTATAGTAGATTAATACGATCCATATAACCAATTAAATAGTGATGCAGGTGTTAGAAGTCTCAAAAATCCTTTTGGATAATGTTAAAAGACCTAATGTTTGGAAAATAAGCTTGGTCGGTTAGGCGTGCGAAGAACTGTAAACAGTTGTTCCTATACATTAAGTAACTTAAAGGAATAATTATGATTGGTTATAGGCATGGTTGATTTTAAGTGAAATAATCGGAAACATAACCGTGAGACTAAAAACAACAATTATAAAGGCATTTGAATGATATGTGTTTTTATAAAGCAGCACTGTTATTATAGTCTAGTGTAATGTCAGTCAATTCGCAGGTTCTGTTAATGTATGTCTTATTTATTCACATCTATCTAAAATTCCTATTAAAACAGCTAGGCAGAAACCAAATGAGTAGTTAAAAATATAATTTGTAATACTTTAAACCACAACACATGTGATGCATGGGCGAGGATGATAATGATTAGTTGTTTGTTAAGTCAGACTTGTAGATAGTCTGACAGGCGTTAGATGAGTTATATATTCTCCTATCCTTATTCATACCATTTATAGTGTTAGATTGTTTCAGATTGTTGCCGGTTTTTGGTGTGGGAATATATCCACGTTCTAGTCAGGCTAATCACGTGTTCTTGATCTGAGTTGTGTTTAAGTCTTGCAGAATAGACACTGGGAGGGAATCTAGTGTAGATATTCGTCTAAGGCAAATTAACGCCCCATTCATAAGGATGAAGAAAACCCAACCGTTATAACAATATGTAGTCACAATGATGTAGCTTAAGTTTTATATCACGGTGTGTGGGTAACACATTCATAGTTAACTGTTACTTTGATTTATAAAAGATAGAAGAAAAATATCACCAACCGAACTAGATGATAAGTGCACCTTAAATCTGAGAAGATACAATTCACTGAATACCAAATATCTAACTTGTACATTTTTCTTTCTTCGTCTCACTCTATAATTTAGCATCCATGGTATTTTGACAGCAGAAAATAGGGCATATTTATCCAATATTACCCGAGGATTTCATATGTAATCTATTTCAAACTCTTATTGCTATGAAGTTAGTATTTGAGTTTACAGTTGTTAAAACTAACCAATTTTTATCTGGTGTTCAACATTAATTCTTTTCTCCAACTGATTAGACAATTTGGGATGTTCACAAAATCAATATGGAGAAAAATCTTGAAACGTTTCGACTGTAAATTCATTTGGTGTTGTTTTATTTGTATCGTGTCATTGTTATTTAACACTGCAATGTATCAGTCTCATGTTGGCAAATGCACATCCTGAAATGCAGGTACATCCAGCTGATGAGTCCCAAATAGGAGGGGAAACGCGCGTCCTGGATTCCACTGCAAGCCACTATCGATCTTCGATAAAAAAATTCGACTGTAAGTTATATAAAGATAAACGTGTGGTGAATAAACTGGAATTCATTTGTAAAACCTTTCACCTAGCTGTGTCTTATCTGAATGAAAGGATTTAGAGCTGCATAAACAAACATATATGATTGATTTAATGGGAATTTCAAGACTAATCCCTAATGCTAACTGAAGCATTTATTTTTTTAAATATTAAAATTTATACTACTCATAAGTAACAAGAGTGAATAAGATAAACTTTTAAAGCCCAGAAAATATTACATAACAATTTTATGTAATCGTACATATTTATACAAATTATAAATACGTACATGAATTCAATTAAATAAAGATATTTTTGTTTATTTTCCAACATAAAATGTATACATGTGAGTATACATGTAGACATATCTATTTTGACTGCAATACTATCAGATTCTTATTAAAAATTGTCTTGAATACATGATTTATTGAAATATTATTCATTTATTTCAAGAAGGAAAAATCACTTTAAGTAAATATGAATACGAATAGCCGTAAATAATCATTGCACGACAGGAAAACCATCGAAAATTTCAATATAAATAAGAAATGAAACTGTTCAAAAAAGAAAAGAAAAAAAATTAACAGTGACAATAATCAATGAAACCGAAAAAAAGCAGATGGGGGATTGTTTGAAATCTAGTTAAAAATCAAAAGAAACCAGAAAAACCGAAGAAAGGTTGAAAATTATTAAAATAATTTAATGGTTTAAGACAAAGAAATTCATAAAGATTTTCTGTAGTCTTAAACAATCAAGAAATTTATAAGAAATACGAAAAAAAAATTCAAAAAGTAATATAGCTGTCTATTAGATAAAACAAAAAGAAAAGTTCAATGGTGTCATTGAATGATAAACGGGTCTGATATAGAATACTACGAAAAATGATTGGCGCATCACAAATGAATTTATCTTACATAATGTTAAAGATAATATGATCAATATACGCTTATATATATATATAAATTATGAAGAAAGGATAATTCTGTTATATGTTCAATCATGGATAAGTATGGATTTTCCAATCAGGTTAAACAGAGATAAATTTTCAAAGAAATAAATGAAAAGTAAAACAAAACATAAAAGAAGAAGAAAGAAAACAAATGGATGGTGCATGCACTCAATAAGTTATTTGATGAAAGGGTACCTTAAAATAAATAAACTAGAAAAAAAAATCATGAAGATAGTTTCTTCATAATTTCATTAAAACAAAACACACAAAAAATTTATCTTAACAGGAAAACAAAAATGAACAAAAGCATCCAAGTTTAGAAATACATCATAGTTCTATCCATAATAATATAGATAATAATTATCATTTCATATGGAAATATCTTTATTAATATAGAATAATATTAATATTTTAATATATAGTTAGTTTAATGAATGATTTTCATTTTTAATTTTAAAATTAACTCTTTAAATGAGGATAGATAGTTCGTATATAATTCACAATAGATTCAGCTGAATGAACTGGATCACATTCAGAAAATATATGACATGTACATTCACTAATTCCTTTACGAACAACTAATCCAAAGATTCTATAAGTTAAAAAAAAGGTCATTAAAACATAAATGTGAATATATTTATACGAATATTCGTCAAGATTAGAACAAATAGTTTGACAGAAATTAGGTGCCGAGTATACACAAGACATTACATGTGAAAATTATATTTGAAATAATCTCAGCGATCGAAATCTACATGATAATTCCAACGTTTCGTCCAACTAACTTGTCTGGACTTCTTCAGGGTAATAACCAAAATCAAAATCATCAAAGAAATATATAACATTTTAACAATCAAAACTATACTGTGTTAAATTATTTCCATGTAGTTGAATTATTTTCACATGATTTGTAGTTAACTGACTCATTTTATCCCATTTTACAAAAAGCAACATCCTAATTTGATTGGTTTAACACAGTATAGTTATGATTGTTGAAAAGTTATATATTTCTTTGGTGATTTCGATTTTGATTATTATCCTGAAGAAGTTCAGACGAGTTGGTTGGACGAAACGTTGGAATTATTTTAAATCTCAATCACTGAGATTATTTCAAATATAATTTTCACATATAATGAAATCCATATTTATTTTATGATTTTGCTTTCACTCATTTCTTTCTTGTTTGTTTTAAGACAAAGTGAATTCTAAACATGGAATAATCAGAACAACTTTGTTTATAGCTAATTTAACTATGGCTAATTATGGTTATTATATATGTGTAGTTGAAACACCGTTTGGTACATTTCGCAATAGTACAGAATTAAAATGACGAACAGAATCAAAATTTCAAAGTTATTTATAAATAAGTTAAGAATATGAAAATTACATTTCATGATAATGATGCTGATTTAGATTTATTTCAAAGTGTTTCACAATTTTTTGATGTAACACATTAGTTGACATGAAACATGTCCAAATATGATTGGTTTAACACAGTATAGTTTTGATTGTGATTTTGATTTTGATTACTAACCTGAAGAAGTCCAGACAAGTTGGTTGGACGAAACGTTGGAATTATTATGTAGATTTCAATCGCTGAGATTATTTCAAATATAATTTCCATATATAATAAATGTGAATAGTTTGTTATTAACCTCATTATATATATATATATTACATCATTCTGATTAACTAGGTCAATGTATCAACCGAATGACTTATTTTACATGATTTATCTTTATAAACATTTATTGATTAGATTTATGTTAATGTTTTGTTGCTGAGAGAACCAAATAAATATAAATGAATTATTATTGTAGATCGATCAATAATAATAATAATAATAATAATAATTATTATTATTATGTAAATGAATGAAAGTTCCTTAAGTGAATTGTAGTCAATATCTCATAAAACATAAAATATGGATCATACGAATTAAGCTAATTGAAATCAGGGTTATAAATATAAAAAATTAATACCTGGTAACCCTATTTACTTATCACAAGATCAATTGAATATATAATTACATGAAATTTAATCAATAATTTCAAGGATTTAATCGGTGTTTCTTCTTTCATAGATTAATATCCATTGTAAAACTAGTAACTAATTGACAACTATTAAATAGTTGCATTTTGTGTGTGTGTGTGTGTGTGCGTGTGTATTTAAAATAACTTGATTCTCTGCAATATCGGATCTATTTTGTATTTGATCTTCTAACATTGAAGTATCTATTATTTTATGAACAAGTATTCACTGAATCGGTTCTTATGTTTAGATTACTTTACACAAATACACGTATACGAATATACAGAAATAACAGTTGTATATTTCTTTCTTTTTCTAGAAGAACAATAAGTAAATAAAAACAATTAACTTACTTAGGATTTCGTATACCATGATTTTGATGTTCGGGATGAATAAATCTAAAGTTGGTTTTAAAAAAAAACAACTTTATTTTGCGCAAAATCAATGATACATATATATATATATATATATATATATATATATATATATATATATATATATATATATATTTTACATGATTGAACATCAGACGTAATCAAAAATCGTCTACCAACAACTATTAGAAGAACACTCAACACTAACGAAACCTCATAGAAATTTTTTTTCAAAAAACCCCCCTTGGAGGCCGTAGCCAGCGCTCACTTTCAACTCGGATACGGGAACATATAAGGGTGAAAGGAAAGCAGTTAGGAGTTCTATACTTGGACACCTAATCGACTATAACCATTCTACAGATCCACAAATTGACTTTTAGGTTGTTTATATGATTCGTTCAAATCTACCCAGATTTCTTCGTATCCAACTCTTAAAAATAGCCGAAGCTCTTACCATCCAGGAGCTTAAACCAGAACTATGCGTACAAAAGAAGTACGTTTTATCGTTATCGTTACCTTGGCCTTGATTATTTTGATTATCATATTTTTATTATTGTTATTATTACTGCATTTCCCCCTTTACTCATGTCTTTTATTCTCATTGTTTTATTCGTAAATGCTCATCATATCACAGTATTTATTTTCTACACCTCTATGACCTTTAATTATTATGACAAAAACATTTTAATCATCTTATTATATTCACTAAGTCTATTGTTATTATTCGTATTACGTAATCTAGTATTATAACCCTTTTTTATTAACTGTGTTCACATTTCCTCACGGAATTAGTACTTTTAGTAAAAACAAAAAAATTTCATATATATAAGATTGTACAGCTTGGTAATAAATCCGTTGAAAAGGGATCCCTTCGCTGAACTTCGTGTTTTCATTTTAATGTTTAAATGGGAATTATCTGTCAATACAAAATGAATTTGACTGGTATTTTTTTGCTTAGTTTGACAGGTAGATTATCTAATTTCTGGATTTCAATTTTTTATAATTATTTGAAATATTTCAAGCTTGTTAAAGTTTTTCTTTAATTAAAATCCCTCTGTATAATCCTTTTTCAATCTTAATAGTGTAATGGAATCATACCATGGTCATCTTATTTCTGGACAGAAATTTTTATATTTTCAGAAACATAATGTTCAGTAGGGGTTTTTGTAGATATTATGGTAATTTTAATAATTGAGATCGTGAGTCAATTGAAGCTAGACCACCATCAGAAACCTGGAAGTACTAGATGGCCGTTTCATTCTCTTATTTGGTACTCCTCAGCAGTGTGCATCCACGATACCGCCTCGCGATATTCGAACCCCGGACCTATCGGTCTCGCGCGTGAGCGCCTAACCTCTAGGCCACTGAGTCTAGCCGGGTCTGTTGTGAGATAGTAACCCACTGAAGACGATGGTGGATGTGTCGTTCAATTTCGTGGATTAGTTGAAGTTAGACGTTAACATCGTTGGATGTTAGTTACCATCAATAATATATTGTGATTATTAGAGTTTAATAACAAAATTTAACAACTTAGAACAGATTCTTGAACTCGGCTTTAAGTCACATTTGTTTTTGTATGTGTGAGAGTCAGATAGTAAAATGAAGTGGATAGTCAAATTGAAATAATTAATGTGTAGTTTAAACCTGCATCTTAATGTTTTAATCATTGGGTTTCAGGTTTAACTTTTGGATCACTTAATTGATTTTCAGCACTCCAGTAGTATTAGCAACTCTCTCACAAACATTGTAACTTAAAGCCAAGTACACAAAAATGATAAAATGGTATTATTCTTTCGTTTTAATCACAATTCAACTTTCTATATATTCATAAGTGTTGGAGCATTCCTATATCATTATTAATCCATTGTTCATATATTTGAATCAGAATGTTTTGTTAAGAAAATATGCTTACTCTTTTTTTCGAGTTTCTATACCACAATACAATAATATATTATTGGGAAGATGGCGTCGAAGGAATAACCGTCTTAGTAAATCTATAATTGTAATTCCATCGTGTGCGCTAACATGTAATTGAATATCTGAATATCGAACACGACTAATACCATGATCACACTCAGATGCTGTTAAAGTTTCCAGTGGAATTAATTGGTCAACTGCTCTTGAGAAACATAGTTCATTATTCCACTGTGGAGTATCTACCGATCCTAACATGAAACATCTATATGCTGAAATACGTAAAAGAATAAAAGATACGGATAAATTGGTTAAATAACCTTGATCTTTTCACAATTAGATAATTTAAAAGAAATCATTGAAGATACCAAGGTGATACAATAAGCGGATCAGGAGTGAGCAAATTAAGCACTGGAATATGGAAGCTAATGAGATAAGGCATAATAAATAAAGTGTTAAAATAAACGACCAGATGGTTAAAAATAAAAATAAACATGGATTACAATGTTACCTTACTAAGAACTATAAACGGATAAAGCTATTCCTTCATTACAAATACCATTCAAATAGTGTGCAGTTTTACACAAATAAAAGCTTTGCATAATCTCATCACACAGTAGACTGATAACTTTTATTGGGATTATAATCAAACTACCGTAGTACATCAAGGAACTGTACATCCTGAAAAGTGTAATATTATTTTTAGTCTAGGTTTACTATTCTTGAGTTATACCCAGTATATTAATTACTACCTCCCTCATTCACAGCCACATCTGGCTAATTCTTGTACAAATGTTGTTTCATATTTTATTGGTACGTTGTGGTCTGTTTGATAGGTATATAAACTCAGTATGCTTGAAATATAATGATTCATATCACAGAGGCTCGGATCGGTATTCTGGACTTAACTGACTGGGCTAGGAGGAAAGCGAGGCCAATCAGAACTCTAGGCTGGTGATACGAGTTTACGCGTCCATGGTCTGGTCGATAAGTCACTTATCTCTAATCGGCGGTCACAAGTTATAACAGAATATGACCTTTAATTTCACTACTATCAACAAGCTGTTAAGCCGTACCCATTTAGTCTACAGTATTCAAAGGAACCATAGGCTATGTCACCGAATGGTTGTGATTAGAACAATTTAATACTACTTCAATAATAATCATATCCTTATTAGTGACTCCTGAAATAGAACGAAACAGTTTTTTAATACATCTTATTTTCAATGGTTTTCCAAAATTAATCCATGAAACAAACTATAAAATTCAAAATTGCGTTGTTGTTAAACATTCCGAAGTTTAATATTGTTATCAATAAAAATTACAGAATCCAGTACTGCATAACGCTCAAACTATTTGCATTTTAATGCCGTTTAGAACCTGATAATATGTTAATTTAACGACATATATATTACATTTGTTCATTGATCAATATCTTTTCAACATGTTTGACTATAATAAACCATGAGTTATGAATTGAGACCATTAGATGAAAAAACCTATGAAAGCTAGATAAAATTCCAAAGATTTGTTTCAATGTAGATGATAATCATCTTCAGTCTACCACTAGAATCAGCTCACAATAGATTGATCGATGGGTGGTGATCAATGTCATGCGTGTCAGGTCCTTCTTAGTGCTGACTGAATCCTAATGACCAGGTTGTAATGTGGCTACTAGTCTAGGTGACTCGACATTACGGGCACTATGTTGAGATAAGATGTTAACGTCTCTGACTGTGAAACTGGGTGAAATGGGATTGAATCTGTCAGGGATCATCAGATCCCTCAAGATTACAGGTACACCTTTCTGAGGAGTGCCAAATAGAACGAAACCTGGGTCCAGGGTTTCCTGTTGATTACCTCCAACCACCACCTTACAAGTATAAACTGTAAGTACAATGTGAATTTATATTTTTTTAATAACATACACTAGTCATATCAGCTATAAATCTTGACTAAGTTAGATAAGGATGTTCAAATTATGCATAAACAAAGCTGTGTAGATTCTTTAAACGATATGTAAGCCGCATTCATACTCTCTGAAAATCACTCGTTAGTTAAGTAACGTTATTTGAATGCCTATAACTACTGAGCTAGCGATTCTAAGGTCTGTATATGAAGTATTTTTTATGAAACAGTTTCCTTGAATCTATAATCATAATTCTTGATAAATATATCCAATTCTTTAGAAATCAAATGCACTGAGTCAAATTTAAAATAGAGCATTCAATAAAATATTATCACATTGAAAGTTAAAACTTACTCATGCCTTGATTAAGCAGACTTTGCGACATCACTGGTTTATGATGTTCATCTTTAATTACACATTCGAATGGCAGACCTTCTATACCCATTGTAGAAGTATTGGTAACTGATTTTGTACAATCAATTTCCACATTATCCATTATAACAGAGCCTAATTCTGAAACTGGCCCAGTAGCACTGTCAACTTTCGAAATATATTGATTATTCGATTGTGAAATATGATTACTTATTGTTGTATCCGTAGTATTTGGTGGTAAGCCAGTTACAATTTGTGGTGGAGGCTTATATCCATGTGGTAACGGTGTAGTTGGAATGGCTGGGAGAATTAATCGACAAGGTAATGCTAAAGCATCTTGTGTGTGTCGGTTGATTAGGGCAGCTAAACTTGGAAATACTGGTTCACTTGCAAAACCTTTAAGGCGTACACCTTTAGTAGGTGTATTAACCGCTTCTATCAAATAATGTCTAACTAGTTCAGATTGAAGATCATCTATAAAATAAATAATTTAAGTAAAAAGAGAGTAAAATAAAAATTAAAACCAAAGAATTGTGATATTGTATGAAATATAATATGCAGAAATTTCTTGAATCTAATAAATAACAACATTATTGGAATATGTTCTCCAGTATTTAGTTTAGATAACTAACCGTAACTACATTCAATTGTCTAACCAAAATGCGTTCAGAGTAGAATGTAAAATGTTAAGGAAATCTTGTACAAACAACAAGAAATAAGTCATCTTTTTAAACTACATTTCGAATTTACTAAACAGTCATTTAGTTGACTTGTATCCAAAAGAATCATCCAATAAAATAATACGGTGTGATACTATTGAATGTTTTATATTGTAAGCAGTATTGGAATATGTACATCAGTCCATCAATTGTTAATGGATTCAACTAAGCAATTCAAGCGTTCTTACTGAATTACACCTGTTAATGACACACGCACATATTAGAGGTGTACTACGAAGACAATGAAAACCTTACAGAGTTCGAAGTGTAGAGTCCTGGACCATGCAAATACTAAGATACTAGTACATTCAGCTGCGGAGTTTGATGTATGAAAAAAGTGTTTATCTACTTTACGTGTACAACATACATCATATTTCGTCAAGTAATCAGTTGGAATTGTGGGATTTTTCTGCATGTGAGCAAGTTGAGTACTTCACTTTTATTTGTAAGTTTGAAATTCTACTATGCCATTAGAATTTACAAATTAAATGCAATTGACTGTACAGTATACGAAGAAGATATTGTTATCGAAATTCATACATACCAGGCTCAGAATAACCCTTTTTCTGCCTACTGAAAGGACATATGGTACAAATGAATAGTAAGGAATCATTAACGACCTTAACTAATTGTTAAACATTAAAGAAGGACCTGGAGTTGTTTAGCAGTAAGTTACCAAGAGATTTTCTATATATCATCAAAAAAGTAATCAATGTGACTTAATTTCCAGTCATTTGAAAGCAAATTAAGAAAATGTCACATTGAAAAATTCGGATGTCTTTAAATGTAAACAATGTAAATGTAAACCATTTGAATTCCCGAAATAGAATGCATCTTCTGCTGGTTTAGTAAAAAAAAGACTACTAAGACTTACATACCTAAAAACAAAAATAATACTTCAAACGGTTGAATATAATTAGAATAATGCTTTAAATCTATGATTTCGATTTGTTCAGATATAGTAGCGAAATACGTTAACATCCAGTCTCAGATTTATATGTGTTTAGTAAAAGAATATAAATTTAAATAGATACAGCATACAGTAAGTAAAACGATCAAATTTGATTTTGCTTATCATAGAATGATATTATAATTTAGAGTAACTAACAGCTAAATTTAGATTCCAATTTTCGCCCCATCTGACATTCGTTGGTTAAATGTACGTTTAGCACAATATTGATGTCAGAAATAAAACTAGATAAATGTTCTTGATCCAACTGTTAGTCAGTTTGCAGCTAAATACAATGTCAAGGCATCTATTCAAAGAGCTTACATGATAGTAGAGACCGACCAGATGCAATCTAGAGTATTACCAATAGGAAATTACTAACTATTACAACTAATACCATGAAATGTTACGTTGACAAACAAGACATTTCATTTTACTGAATTTTTTAAAAAAAACTATTTCGTAAAACAATAGTTCTAATGACCAGGTTTTGCAAAACAATAACTACACTGTCATAGGAAGTAATTTTTACGCCATTTCGTTCACAAATCTGCTTTTAGATTGTCTTAATGATTGATCACGTCATTAACTCTCTCATTTGTTAATTCAATTCCTACAGGAATTAGACTAGTACGAATATCAAAGGTATTTATAATGTATTTTGGCAGTAAATATCAGTTTACATATATGCTTCCATATTTATATCTATGTATGTTAGGTTACTGTTTACTTCCTCAATAAAAATCGAAAACAACATTTATTATTTAGATTAAAATAACAAATAAGTTTGGCATGCCTTTTAGAATTGCATAATCAACTTTGGGTGAAATTAAAGCATGCTATGAATAGTATTCCACTATATTCAAAGTATAAATTGCTGTGAATATAACAAACTAACCATTAGAAAAAAAAGTTTTTTGGCAAGAATAGTGTAGTGTAAAGTATGTTTTAAGGGGTTTATAATAAAAAAAAAGCTACTACATGCAAAATTAATTTATGCATAATGAAGTGTGTGTGTGTGTGAATAATTACAATGTGACAATAGTAGCTGATATATTGCTGCATTGATATAAAGCATAATAAAATAAATGTGAGTACTTGTTTGAAATCTTCATAGATCAATAAATACTTCAGCGGGAACTTTTAACACAGTGATAGTCAAAACTGTTGTTAAGCAAAAATAATTCGAATGATATTTCTAATGCATTATAGTGATGTTTCACAAATGGGGATCTTTATGAACAGGCAAAATGTTTGTAATTATAATAAACAATAAATATCATGCAATGGAAAATATGGATTTATTACTTGAAATTAATCATCACTATTCTGTTTAATTTCAGTGATTTTAGTGTTTAAGTATATTAAACTGATAAACATACACATATAGAGGGTAAATTTCAATCAGAACAAGACATTGGTAACAACACTGTGTACAGTGTATTAAATTGCTAGAAAACAAAGGTTGCTTAAACATAAATCAAACAGTTGTTCCCCTTAAAATGTGTCATATAATCCATCAAAACTAATTAAAAGAAGATGGAACAGCTTCAGAGGATACTTCAAGACATTTTTAAATATTCTACTTTTCACGTGAAATCACTAATTATAATTAAGGTTTCACGTAAATGTATAAAATATATTGAATAGTAGTCATTGAAAAACCATATAGCTAGCAGATGTTTCATTAAAGTCAATAGAATAAAATAGTATGTTCTCATGTGAACTACAAGTCAATTGCACAAAGAATAAAGATGCAGTATATAGACATTTGGTAATAAATAAAGACAGTGGCTAATACATAGTGTAATAATGTGAATTAATTTTATTGTATTTCGTGCAGATGTAATTATATAGACATATGATCTACTATTTCAGACAGAAAAAAAACGCACCTAACTGTTGACGAATAATGTGATTATTGTATACAATAACTGACAGATACATATTGTCGAAGTGAAAGTGCTCAAAAGCAGTAGTGATTTTATGAATTCAGACAACAACAAATATAAAGAAACAACATTGCCATCATCACAATCATCATCATTATTATCAGCAATCATACCAACAATAACGAGAACAATGACAAGCGTAGTGTTAAAGATCTTCCTTAAAACGTGCGAAGTTGGTCATGGGAAAGATTTTGAATAATACTAGTAATAGTAATAATAACAATGATAATAATTGGAGGAGGTTAAAAAAAAGAAAATACTAAGGGAAAAAAACTTGATCATCTTAATTTGTTTTATTTTTCTTACTGAAAATGCTTCTGACAAATTTGGTAAAACCTACAAAAAGAAATGAAGAAATTATGAATAAAAGAAGAAAAGAATCACATACTACTACTACTACTAACAGTACTTCACTTTGAATGAATACATTGTACAATAAAAAGAAGTCAAAACATTTGATAGATTGAAAGGTGAGAAAGTTTAGCAAAAGTAAAGATAACACTGATAATATATTAAGGAATAATGATAAGTTCAGATTGATATCATGAATGGATCGATGTTAGTGACTAGCTTCAAGATAGATTTCCTAGAGTTCTAGTGAGAAGCCGCGACCAGTGGAGTTCAACCAAGTCTGTTGTGAGGCAGTTACTCACTGAAGACAATGGCGAACAGTCACTCAATATCGTGGATTGGTTGAAGTTAGACGCTAACACTGCCGCCTCAGTGGTCTAGAGGATAAGCATTTGTGTTTAAGAAAGTGACAACAAATTAATCTTAAGCAAGAAACACTTGTTTATCCATAAGAAATACGAGTGCAGGACATTAGGAATCAATAACCAGTTAGACTAGTAATGACAAATCAATCTGGTTTTTTGTAAGGACTTTATCTTCACTTTCAACTTATAACACATGGTAATGCAAACAACAGATAGGTATCCTAGCTTGAAATAAGGATGATTGATTTTCTTGTTGAAAAGTTGGTAGAGTAATGTCAGGTACTCTTCACCTTCGAGACTACGATTGTATTTTGTCTTATAGGTCTATTTTGTAAATCCTAGTAAAAACACTGCAGATAAATTCCTAATTCTTTCTCAAGTTGTATTAATTATCATGGTCGTAAACCACCCCAATAAGTAGATCAATTTATCACTGAGACTGTGCTTATAATGCTCACAAAATAGAATGTGTACAAATCGAATAGTTAATAAGTTATAAGAATATAAACTTATAAAAGGCAACTATTAACATAAAACGTGAAATAATGATAAAAACAGGCTATAATGACATTGTTTATTGTGGAAAACTATGCCTTACAGCACCTCAGTAAGTTAGAGGATTTACAACGCGATACAAAGGTAAATTGTGGCTTACTGATAAATTAATTGGAATTGACTATTGAGTAATAATAAGTTGTCAACCTTGAAAGAGCTACTTTAAAAGAAAAAGGCATACCAATGGGCGATAGAAAAATAATTATATTCAAATCAGTCATGTGAATCAGAGTAAGATGTATGTTTCTTGTATTGAAAATTGGTACGGCTCAGCACAGTTGTGCATTAGTCCAATAAAAATGATGAAGTAGACGTAAGGAAAATCGCTCATTGAAGAGCTAATCCATGAATGAAGGATGTAGAATTATACGAGGTACAAGATTTAAAAGGTTGTGGATAAATGCATCTAGCACATTTCAATACATTTTGAGCAGTCATCTGACATGTCCAACTATACATTATGATTATCGGAATGATGCTATCATAGGAGCTTGCAGCTCTTGACATTTCATCAACTGACATTGTCTTGGCATATCTATTCATAACTTTTTCAATAATCTGCTGTTGTCAGGTCCAATATTATGAGTCAGAAGATGTGCTGACAGGATATACACAAGACGCGTCTCAACCACCTCAGATGAAGATACATAGCATTTTAATCCAACTTGCTACCTTTAATTAGCGCTCGAAGCCTAATCTTATCATCATTCACTCGATGGTTCCGTCATATGTAAATCACACTAAGGAGGCATTTCTGGTCTAAATCTAGTAACCCACCTTTGTCCTCTACCTTCAAAGACCATGTTTTACAGTGATAAGGGCGAAGTGCTGAGAGCTATACGCGCCCTTTGATAAGAAAATAGGTATCGTTTCTAAGTTAGTTTCTCAACATATCTAACACTGGTAATAATATTAAGTGTTCAGCATGGAAGAATATAATAAATGTAAAGACTAGAAATGAAATATATTTATCATGTGATTGTATAGGAATAGTCGACATAAGTAACGATATTTCTGAATTCAACATTGACATTATCTAAAAGCATTCTTACGACAGAAATCCAAGAAGTAATCCGAATTTGAATCATAAGAACAATTTGTTTGAGCTAAACAGTAGTCGCTTTTTCAAATACAAAATATGAAATGGCAGCAAATACAATAGTTAATTTTCCTTCATTGGTAAAAGTAAGTGTCTCAGGTAACTTTTTCTGTTTACAGGAAGTACACTTTTCAAAAAGTAGCCGCTACATACGTTGTCATTAACATATAATTCTTAATACTGTAAATTTTGATGAACCGCTGATAATTTATTTCCTTAATCGGTTGGGAATGTTAATTTCAGTGCTTTTAAATGAAACTAAGCTGCTTAACTTGGATTGAATTGCCTTATTTCATTTAATATTAATATTAATAATTATTGTTGCTATCGTTTTCTTGAAGTTTAATGGGAAATAATGTTTACAGTTTCACTTTCAGCGTATGATAATGCTATCATCAAAATGGCGTGAGATGATAGAGAATATTTATAGCTTAGTATCAGGCTTTCGATAGTGTTTTGCTTTCTAGGATCGATAGTTTTATCATGGAGCTTTCAACATATTTCTCGTCCATAAAGATAAAATTAAGCTTTTCACATAGTCAGTTAAAGCAATATTTTCATCAAGATTTCTGCAGATCAATTAAAATGTAGTTTATTTGTTATATCTTCATAAGGTAAAGTAAATAAATAAATACTCAATTGGTATAAAACTTCCTTAATTTCTACAGAATGGACGGAATTACTGATCCATAGTCAATAGCTTTATCTTCTGCCATTCAACTATTCTAGTTAATGAATAACTTTTAAATTCAACAGCTTTTCCCTGTTAATTTAGAAGCCCATTAGGATGGAAAATAGCTTGGATTTATTTGTAACTACACAATTAAGCCATAGATAAGGAAATAAGGTAAAACCAAGCCTAGGTAGGTTTCAACGTCTCATCTGTACCTTTTCTATCTCAACGTTGAAATTTTGAAATGTAATCAAAAATAGGAAAATACCTTGATCAAATTAACATGTCATTGATATGATCTGACTTATTTCGATTTTGGTTGAACTAAAAATATTCGGCTTTTTTCTTTTGTACTATTTAAACATGTGTAAACTTAAAAAGAAGAATATATTTGTAAAATCTCAGCGAATGAATTTTAAGTAAATCCAACGTTTCGCCTGGCAATCTGGTCCAAGCTTTTTCAAGGAAAATATAATCAAACAACAAAATTATCGAATATAAATAGGTACATGGTTCTTCGGTTTACTGTACACTGAATAAGTCATCCAATCGACGTGAAGGATTTCTTTATAGATAGGTATTTGTATTAATGTGTAAGAGACATGTTTATATGAAAATAATAAGGTCAACAATAAAATAATCTTTGAATCAAGGGAGAAAATAAGATTGTCATGTTCCTGGCCATAGATGACTTAATTACAAGGTAAATTCAAGGTTATGACAAATTGTTTTTTATGTGTTATGGAACCAAAACGTGTTAAGATAACAGAATGTGTTTATACGCAAGTGATATGAGAAAAAAATTTCATTCAACTTAATATTGACTACGGTCTGTGTATATTAAGATAAGTAAACAAAATAAACGAGGAATGTATATGTAATTGAAGTGTGTTATTTTAAAATGTTCCAGTCAATTGTTTAACCTATTCAGATTAAGAGACTGATCAATTTCAGTCCAAAAACATCAATGGGAAGTTTCAAATAAAACAATATCAAGTGAATTGAACCTCTTCAATTAATACAACTATCTATAAAGAAATCCTTCACGTCGATTGGATGACTTATTCAGTGTACAGTAAACCGAAGAACCATGTACCTATTTATATTCGATAATTTTGTTGTTTGATTATATTTTCCTTGAAAAAGCTTGGACCAGATTGCCAGGCGAAACGTTGGATTTACTTAAAATTCATTCGCTGAGATTTTACAAATATATTCTTCTTTTTAATGTTTCAAATTAACTCGGCGCCCAAATATTGTGACATTCTCAAATTTACGAAATGTGTAAACTTAGTTGTTTTATTTACTTTATTCTATGAGGAAGTGGCTTATACTAAGTCACAAAGCACAAGAAATTTAATTTCCTGTTGATTAAGATTTTGCAATTTGAAGAACCAGCTCCACTGAATCCACCGGATATCGAAGTAGAACACATAGACCTCCTTATACATGTCACGCCATCAACAGTCAAACAAATCAGGATGGCCACCAGGTAGATCAAGAGTGAGGGAGCAGTAAGACCTCATAACGTACCAGCTGAAGCACTGAAGTCAGATATAGGAGTAAATGCAAACATGCCTCACATTCTATTCAGAAAGATTTAGGAGGAAGAAAATGTGCCACCGACAGATTGGAAAGAAGGATACCGCATCAAGATACTAAAGAAAGGAGATCTGAGCAAATGTCGAAAGTACACAGGAATCACACTACTGTCAGTACCACCGAAGGTTTTCAACAGTGTTGTTGAGTCGGATGAAAGACTCAGTAGACGCCTAACTTCGATATCAATAGGTTGGATTCCTTAGGGATCGATCGTTCACAGACCAATTTGCGACACTACGGATCATCGTTGAATAATCAATTTAATGGGACTCGTCACCACACATCAACTTCCTTGATTATGAGACGTTTGACAGTGTGGACAGGAGAACCGTCTTCGACATTGTGATGTCAGTAACTGAGAAAATTGTCAACATCATTTGGAATTCATACGACGGATTACAGTGCCTCTGCATCAGTAGACCTCAACATACACAATAGAAAAACCAACATCCTCAAATACAACACAGAGAACACCAACCAAACCAATCACACTAGATGGAGAAACTCTGGGAGAGGTGAAAACTTTTACTTACCTGTTCATCACCATCTATGAACAATGAAGATCTGATGCAGATGACGTAAAGGCGAGGGTTGGCAAAGCAAGGACAGTATTTCCACAGTTGAAGAACATATGGAACTCAAAACAACTATCAACCAATAACAAAGTCACAATCTTCAGTACGAACGTCAAGACAGTTAGTTCTATTGTACGGAACTGCTACTTTGAGAACTACCACAACCATCATCGAAAAGTACAAGTATTCATAAACAATTGTCTACACAAGATTACTCCATGTCCGTCGACTATATATCATCAGCAACAACCTACTATGGGAGAGAACAAACCAGGTTCCAGCTGAAGAGGAAGTTAGGAAGAGACGATGGAAGTGAATTGAACATCTATTGAGGAAATGATCAATCTGTGTCACGAAGCAAGCACTAACATAGAATCTCGAACGGAAATGGAAGAGATGAAAACCAAGGAACATACTGCGTCGGGAATTGAAAGCAGACATCAAAAGAATGAATAGCACCTGCAAAGAACTGGAAATGACTGTCCAGGACAGGGTTGGATAAAGAATGCTGGTGAATGGCCTATGCTATTCTACGAGTGGTAACAGGCTTATTTAAGTAAGACTTTGCAAATATATTATTACAATTAACAATTTAACCAATGCCTAATCTATGAGAAATTATCAAGTTAAACTTTTAGTAATGACACTTGTTTGAAAGTTTACAAAGAAAAAAATTAATCACGATAATTAATAGATTTTTTCTTATGAAGAAATGAAAAACTACATTATTCCAAAGAACAAATTAAAATTTTCTTTATTGTTGTACCGATTGTTGTCGTATGATTTGTAACCTACTGGTGATGTTTTATGTCATTAAATATAATAAATATGAACTATCTCAGAATGTCTAATGAATGAATATTGTCTTTAATCAGGCTTCTTGTAAAAAAAAAACAAATTCTCAAATGTAAAGTTAGTATTATTCCATAAACTGAAATCAGGCATCATTTATATCAGATATGACAATGAATGTCTATAGCTCTTTACAATAAATTGATTGATATAAAAATATGGAACAATTAATTGTCAGTTCATCAGATTAAAAAAAATTGTGTTTATTTTAAGATTCATTTTTGGCTAGGCTTTGTTTGTGAATTGGTTAACAGTTTCAAACTAGAACAAAATGGTTATCTATTGATGTTTAGTTTTCAACGGTTTTCGCGCTAATGTCTACTCATAATGAAATATATATGTATATATATATAGAACAGTAACAAGATAATATTTCTTGGTACTACCAATAATACTTTCGATAATATTAGCAGTGACACTAATAGGCATATGACTAATGATAACACGAGCAGTAACATGCTACATATATCTGTGCAAACAATCAATATGTCGAATCATTCTAAATATTAATTATAACAAGCATCACAATTGGATGGATAAATAGTTTTTTAAAAAAAGTATGTTTGCATGTAATGTATGCTCACATAAAAACAGAAAGTTATACTTACTAGATTTTGGTGTAACTTTTGGTGGAAGTGTAGCAACCTTGACTGCTAAACCAAAAGCATCTTTGTATGTTGTACTATCACGAATAAGAAAACTTCCAGGGACTTGTTGACGTAAAATACTTATAGCTGATAGAAATTATGATTGGACAAATAAGGAAAAATTAAAGGATTAAAAGGATTATAGTGTAACAAATGATAAAATGGTAATATAATTAGTTTAGAAGAATCAGTGTTCCATACAAATTAATATTATGTACGAAATGCTTTTCGCTTACCAAACTTAGTATAGAAAGTCCAAATAAAAGCCGCATATGGAATGATGTAAGATAGAAAAAAGTATGTGAATGAAATGTATCAAACAAAAACTGATGGTGATAGGATCTTAAATTGTAAAAGCATCTTTTCAACAGTTTGCAAATTTTTAAAAGCGTTATGAAAACTGGATCAAACAAACCATAGGAACTATGGGGAAAGACATCGAAGAAAATTTATCAATATAGTTTAATTAAAAGATTTCCGTCAAACTGACTATACTACATGTATATTGACCTTACTTACACAATCATTGAGGACGAGTAAGCACTTCATAGGCGTTCCATCTTGTTATCCAACAGTTCATTGGGACCAAATCCAAAAGTATCAGGTCTCATGGCAAGCATTTTTGAAGTCGTAGTACGAAACCGATGAACCCTACATGAAAAGCCTCCTAGAGATTAAAGCCAAATTATTATGGACCTTCGGAAATGATAACTAACGTACTCTCTCTAATATATATTGTACAAACTAAAGTGGCTAGTCAAGCCAAAGATAGTCTGCGAAATAAGTAACAATAATTTTCAAATATATCTTTTTTCTTAGTTTCTATAATAATAACAATCCATAAAACGTATTGATATACAATAGTCAAAGTCGATATATATATATAAGTTGGATCGATAGAATCTGTATGACTTGGACAGAAATAACATATAGATCAGATAACTTGTACGTATTTGGGACTTGTACCACTTATCATCTTTAAATAGTCACAGTCTATCACTTGATGAGATGAGGGTCGGGAAAGAAGAGAACAGACATTTATGTAAGATCAGTGACAGACTAATCACTCATAACAGCTAATTACACAGTCTGTTAATGAAAGTAACTGCTAGTCACATTTGAAATATTTATAGTTGCCTAATTTTTTTTAGTTATTTTTTAGTTCAAAAAAACACAAAATGAATAAGATAATGTTTATTTAGATTCAGTGTGTATTTATTTCATTGGGAGTTTGAAGCTAAAGGCTCTGGATTGGAGTCTTTCTGTGAACATCAATACCAGAAATACAGGCACATCCAGCTGACGAATCAAAGATAGGACGAAACGCACGTTCTAAATTTTAATTTTAACCATTAACCAACTCTACTAAATTCATGTTTTGTTTGAAACTTTTATGAACAAAAAACAAAGAAAGAAGACTACCGGGATTAACGTTATTAATATGTTTTCTTGAATATTGTACACATCAAATATACATCATATAAAGACAAAAAAATCAATACAGGAAATATTTGTAAAAAAAATACTAAGTAAATCAGAGAAAATTACCTAGCAACAATATTTTCTAGGTATTTTGTATATTTTTACACAAAAATTATTTTAGCTTTTTTTAAAAAAAAATGTATATTTGTTTTTTGTTTGTTTGCATTTTTTCATCAACTTACATGTAGAGTTTACATGTGTAGTTTATAACTTTTGGCATTGAATCAAATATATCATACTGACAGGGAGTTTATGCAAAACGTCTTATTATTACTATTATTATTATTTATTGTGACGTTTCTTTAGATTCTCTACCATGTTGTGCAAAATACTGAATGTGATTTAGTTTGATTGGTTAATAGTTTATGATTGAATAATGAATTTTCTGTATTGTTATGTAAATAAATGAGCTATGAATGATTTATTACCCTATTAATATTAAGTAAATGGTAATTTAATTAAGTTAATTCATGGTATTTAGTACATAAAAAAGATTATCAACGAAATAGTGTATATATAGGATTTTAGTTATTTTCAATCTTAAAGTGATAAGTCTTGCGGATTGAACGTTATATTCGTCTCCTAAGCTATCCTGTAATCCCCAAGCTAGAACTATACAGCAACCTGAACACGAGAGAGAAGACTCAAAGTATACGAGAAGTAGTTTACTCCAAGGTTCATTTTATTACAGAAAACACAGGGTTTTTATAATATTTTAAATGTCCTTGGGTTGCTCGAAGATTCTAGAATGCTATTAAACATAGTAGCGGTGTAGCAGCCAATCAATCAGAGCCTCTGCATATGACGTTTCACTTCCTTGATATTTTTGGCTAAAACTTCAAGTGAACGCTGATTGGATGAAACGCTTCTTAGTGTTTCCTGATGCTTGCTTGTCTTTCGCAAGCAATTTTCTGGACCACCCCAACATAAAGTGAGTTTTTAGGATAAAGAAATTTGTCTCATTGCTTTTTCTTGGAAGAATACAAAAACAAATTACTGAGAATAACAACTCATGGTTAGGTGGTTTTTACAACGGGACAATATTAGCTATGCTATTATTGTACAACTAATGTGTCTGATTATAAAGTTTCATACTAGTACTTACTTACATTAAGCGTCTCACTCAGGAGCTTATCATTTAGCGACAATTTCTTAACACTTATATCACTTAGTTGAAATCCAGTGGTTTATATTTCTAGCAATATAAATGATGATTCGTCATTCTTGATAAAATACAATAGTTGTTCATAGTTACAACTACTTACCTTCTTCTCTGGATAATTTAGGTTGATACCAAACACGTGCAGTTGCAATCACTTGAGGCATATTACCACTATCTACTGTATCTTGTTTAGGTTTCTCAGATTTCCATCCATTTTGCATAGGGACTTCGGTAAGTTCACTCGTTTTTCTAGTGTTTGTCAAAACATTCAAATTACTGACAACTTTTGTCGGAGCAGTTACTGTTTGTGGAGTAGTTGAGACAGTAATATGATCTGAATAGACAGATTGTGTACCAAGTCTACTGGGTGGATAACTTTGAACTGGGGTACCTGACGAGACAGTTTTCGAATAATAAAAAAAGTTATGAGATGTGTTTTAAAGCAATAGTATTTTTGGATACACGGAAATAGAAAACACTACTCTTAAACTGGAACTTTCCCTGAAAAATTCTGATATTAACTACATTAGTGAATTATTTAAAAATAAGCTAAAATAACCTGACGAAATTCAGAATCAACTTACAGGTCAAGAAATAGTCATCAGTTAAAGTTAGCAAATTATTAACAGAACACGATAATACCTTGAATAAAACTGAAATTCCTGGTGTACATTAGTTGATGATTATTTACACAAGTAGACATCAACTTTGAAAGTAAAAGGAATTACGTTGGAGGGAATAAAGTTTCTATGTGAATACAATATTTAAATAATATCACTGAAGATTGTTTTATCGACGGGATATAGCTTTTCAAAACGTTATCTACAGTGTAAAACTGGTATATTTATTTTAATATGCTTTAACATACTTAATCATGAAACCGGTTCAACAGTATGAATCTGATACATTTAATTCTGAACAAGTTGCTCAAACTATGGGCTACTTTCTATTAATTAATTTGTTTACTTTTTTGCATTTTAGTTTGTAATTATTGTTGATTTACAGAAAGTTATTTAGTTATTTGATGAAAGCACTAATATTAAATAAAATGACATTCACTTTGAGACATAGGTATTAAAAGTTATAGTCAAGTACTAAGTTATAGGATCACAGAGTAAAGTTGTGAACTTACATTAATCAAAGTGAACTAGATCATATACAATCTAGCAAATAACTCTCGATATTAACTAGAATGGAATTGAACTGGAAGGAAATTAAGACTAGGGAGGAAGAAATCAGATACTTGTTTATGAAGTCGATAACGCATTGGTTTCGGCAGTCAAACTGGACTAATTGTTTTTAAAATTGTAGATACTACTATCCATGGTACTGGAGTTTAATGGTTCATTTCTAATTACACTTGTAGAGATAAACTTCTTTTAGTCTTCTAATGCCCTGACATACTATTATTTTGCTCGAATTTTTTCCTTGATAACTCAGTTGTACTTCATATTAACGTTTTGATAGTTCTGAAGAAACTTGAGCCAGTAGTGACTGCTATTGAAAGTAACGTTACACTTTTATTCCTATAGCTTAACTCGCAAACCTGTTTTAACCAGATCATCATTAAAAACCCGGAAGCACTGAAAGACCTTTACGTCTTAGTATGTGAATGCGCACTGTTGACGAATTCCATTCTGAAATGAAAAAGCCATCCAATTTCCCTAGGTTCTTAATGGTGGTTTAGCTAAGATTATTTTGTGATTTAAATTATAGAAGTACTACAATTTGCACAAATCACGCTTCATATTTTTAATTCGTACAGTCCATAGTTCAAAATAATGTCCTTTAAGCTGTTAGCAAGGAATTATTATTTTATAGAAAAATAATTCTGTCTAACCATTCTCTAAGTCACTATGCTGAGGAGTCCCATAACAGGACGAAAGAGCCGTCCAATGCTTCCAGGTTTTCTATGATGTTCTAGCTTCAATTGACTCATGATCTCAACTATTCAAATAATGATTACTTCATAAAATAAAGTGTACTTATTTGAACTATTTTATAGAATATACACATACAGATAGATGTTATTTATCTTTAAATATGAAGCTGAAATTTTTATTTTTGTATCTCATATTCAGTAATGATAATAGTTGATATTACTAAGAACAGGATGATGAAAAAGCCTTCAGTTTTAATATTTTATACAATAATAATGAATAAAAATATCCCAATTTCATTCGTATCTTATACAATTGAAATCACTGAATATTTATGTTTGTAAATGATAAATTCCTGTGTGCCATCCATTAACTTACTTTGTTACTTCTTATTCTGTTTATATGTTTTAACAAAAAGTTTATACTTTGTTGCTGAGGAGTTTGAATTCGTTTAGTAAGATTACTATTGATCATTGTTGTTATATTTATAAATGTATGGTTGTGAACACACATTCAAACTTATACATTCAACTAGTCAGTATTATATTGTCGAATACGAGTTATAGGTACTGGTCACGAAGATTTTCACGTCTGTTCTCTGGCACTAAGAAAACAATCTATAGACATTATGAAATGTAAAACCTTAACAATTTCCTATTTAACAAATACGCTATGCGATAGAAACATTGTAGGAGCAGAACTAAACAAGGGCACTAGAGGTGTATAGTTAAAGCTCATTATTCTTACTGTTAGTGTGTATTCATAGATTGTAAGTTTTGCAACTCAGATTTAAATTGTTGCATTATGTTTGTATTATACATAATTAATTAATTTTAGTTAACGTAGAGCCTGGCACAAATATTCCTTAACCCGAATTTCCCAAGTCTCTCCTGTTTTCCTGAATAAATTGTAGTGAACTAAGTGATTATTATAACTTCTATTTAAACTAATCATGTGAAAAATAATAAATCCCGTGTATACTAGTTGATAGATTGTCAGAGTGAAGACCTTATTGATATTGACATGAAATTTCAAATAATTCAAACCCTTGGAATTTCAAATTACACTCATGACTTACTTGATGTTGGTTGAACACGATTAATGAAAATTGTCTGTTCTCCATCATGATTATAATTTTGTTTATTGAGATATCTAAAAATATGTAGGATAGAATGCATTTAGAAAGAAAAGAAATATTATCCTTGATGTTTGTGTAAATTAGAACTGACCTTATCTGTGCCTAATTTCGTTGAACTCTTGTTGATCTATTAACAATGAAGGAAAAAACACTGTCATTTTCAGCTGCTTAGTAACTGGAGTTCACTTACTTACTTGCTCCTGTTACCCTTCGTGGAGGAGCATAGGCCACCCACCAGCACTCTCCATCCAACTCGATCCTGGGCAATCCTTTCCAGTTGCTATTTATCTTTTAATTCATCCTTCTATTTCTCGACGTAATGTGTTCTTCGGCCTTCCTCTTTTTCGCTTCGTTTCAGGATTCCAAGTTAGGGCTTGCCTCGTGGTACAGTTTGATGATTTGCGAAATGTATGTCCTATCCACTTCCATCGTCTCTTCCTAACTTTCTCTTCAGCTGGAACCTGGTTTGATCTCTCCCACGGTAGGCTGTTCCTGATGGTATCCGGTCAACGGACATGGAGTAATCTTGTGTAGACAATTGTTTATGAATACTTGTACTTTTCGATGATGGTTGTGGTAGTTCTCAAAGTCGCAGTTCCGTACAATAGAACTAACTATCTTGACGTTCGTACTGAAGATTGTGACTTTGTTATTGGTTGATAGTTGTTTTGAGTTCCATATGTTCTTCAACTGTGGAAATACTGTCCTTGCTTTGCCAAATCCCGCCTTTACATCTACATCAAATCCGCTTTGTTCATGGATGACGCTTACCGGTAACTGGAGCATTTGTTAATTTTCATTCTATTAGTATACGGAAAATTTGTAATATCAACTCTTCATATAGTGTGTGAGTGATTTTAGTAGTAAATTAGTTGCATAATATCAGCAATAAGAACTGCTTTGATATGATTTGTGTTATATCTAGAAGGTTGTTCCTGATATACCGCGTATAACATGAGCACTAGAACGCCAGAACCCTTACAAGTCGCAATGAGAAGACAGAAGACTAATGAAAGGAATAACATTCCCAGACAGCGTCAATTATAGTACAAAATTGTCAGGTATTTATAGTTTTTAGTAAGAACGAAATCATCATTACAGTCCTCCAATCCGCATACAGGGGGTTATTAGCATTGTCCAATCGGGAAGCTACATGTAGGAGTCCAAGAATATTCTTCCAAACGGTGATTGGATGGAATATCTTCGGCTCCTTTTGAGCCTTCTACAGCTTCCTCGAGTTCACCCGTGGTCCGTCGTCACAATTTGATTATTGGTTCGAATGATGATTCGTTAAAAAATAAAATACTAACAGAAGTATTGAACTTTCTTATGTAATTTTATTATCTGTTATTAAAATTTGGTTGTAAGTAAACCAGTAACAAACTGCTATCATTAAAAGAACCTACTCGGTTTATGAAAAATGATTATTCTAAAACACGTACGCACATATATAAGACAGCTTAACTTCAACACTATCAGTGATAACGAATGAGCATGAGTTTTGATACAAAATAAATGTAGTAGTGATTAATCATACAAGTAGATATCATAAAGAACAATAAAAGAAAAGAAATAGAAAATGTATTTTATTTATAAGTAAAAACATCAATGTGTGAAGCACGAAGGTTTAATACAATCTGAGGTCTGGATAATGGATAACAAGTGAGTGAATGTGTAAAGACAGTTACATTGATTACTATGTAATTTGAAGTCCGTACAATCACAATGATCATTAAAAGTCTTATAAAATTATATCGCGTTATTTTTGACAAATGATCTGAGAGCTCATTAAAAGTATTTTCCGTGTTGTTAAATATCAGAAAGCGAGTAGCAATAAAGTCTTTGAAGAGTTTACTTATTAATTGATGATAACTACAGTAACTGTCTAAAGATACTCGGTTTTTACATAGATTCTATGATAAGTCATTTGATTCGATGAAACAGACTTATAATAGTTATTTGGATCATGGAGGAAGTATACTTATCCAAGCTGCACTGCTTCGAATAGGCATAAATCAAAACAATCATGTGATATTCAAATAAGTCACTTTAATCCTATTAAGTACTTAGTATTTATTTGTATGATGAATTGTGAACTTTTATCCATGTACACTGTTACATATGTATGGATGTTTGCATATTCATTTGTCTATTTATGGCACTAACTATTTGTACTACATAAAGCCACTCAACAATTCACAAATCTATTGATGATCACACGGAAAATACATATTACACAATGTAATCCACACTTCTCACGGTTAGTCATTCATAATTCCGTCAAGCTCTGTACTTTGTGCCTTTAGTCTGTTGAGTTGGAAAGTCCGAAATACAGCTATCTCAACAACATTTCGTATTAAACTCGGGATTATTCGAGAAATCAAATAACATTAATTGGAGTATAAATGCTATCTGGCTTAACAATTACGGTTAATATATTAAAAAAGTTAACCTATCTGCTACACCATAAAAATATACAATATAGTAAGTGCGTAACTGACCTACTGTCCCAGTTAACTTTTTACTAATACTATACTCGAATGAGGGTTGTTGAGGAGCCCCATAATAGAACGAAAAGGCCGTTCAGTGCTTCCAGGTTTTCAATGATGGTCTAGCTTTAACTGACTCATGAATTCAACTGTTAAAATAACTCAATTGAACTGAGTTTAAAACTTGTTATTGTATATATATATATATATATATATATATATATATATATATATATATATATATATATATATATACAAATGTAGTTGACATTTATGTTAGTTAACTGATCAGTATAAGATATGGTCGGTTGGAATTATTCAGTGTTTATACTATGGAATAGGTCATCGGAATTAATTAAAATGCTTATAGAGATAATGTTTTAAGTTGTCTACATTCTGAACGATTGATTTGAAATTTAGAAGATAGATTTGATGATTATTTACAGATATTAAAAAGAGAAAGATATCAGTAACACAGAAGAGATTAACCTTCATTCTAAGGATCATGTTTTCTTTTGAATAATTGAAATATATAAAATATTTCTAATTTAGAGTTTTATAAAACAGTAAGTAAAAATCTAGTCCTTTAATCTCAAAACAAATCAAAATGTATATATATTCAAACAATATTCATTATTTAAATATGAACTTACTGAGTTGAAGCAAATGGTTGTCGTGATAAACTTGTACGTGAGCTTGCTCGTGGAGGTTGATGATCATCAATTTGACTTAAACCTTAATATTATCATCATTGTTATTAGTTTGATCAACAACATGTCAACATATGAACATCGTGTGTTTGTGTGTGTGCGAGAGAGAGAGAGGAAGAGAAACGAAAAACACAAAACACGTTCAATTAACTTGTTTTATTGAAATAGTAATAAGGTGGTTATAAAGGATTAAGTTAATCGTGAAAAAGAAATTAGTAATAATGTTAGATGAATTCAACGCTAAGTAATGCATATATGTGTATATAAAAGGGAAAATTATAAAAAATGCTTTAATTCGTTAAATTTATATATGGACATAAGCGTATTGTTAATTATAGGTTACATTTATCTGTTCAACAGAAGTTCATTGATAATAATGGTTAAGAATTATAATTCAAATATTAATAATTCATATTCTATTGCTAATGAAGTTTTACATTTAATTTTATTCTTCATTACAATATGAATATAAAGAACCAATATGAAGAGAAAAAACCCAAACAACAAACAAATCACACACCATATTTTGCTTGTTATGATATGTACTTTAGATAAGATAGATAAAAGATTCGAACCCAGGATCTGTCGGTCTCGCGCGCGAGCGCTTAACCTATAGACCACTAAGCAGGCTGGCATCCAACGGTGTTAATGTCTAACTTTGTGGATGCGCACTGCTGAGCAGTTCCATACTTGGACGAAACGGCTGTCCAGTGCTTCCAGGTTCATCATGGTAGTTTAGCTTATTCAACTATTAAAATTACTATAATATCCACAAAATCCCTCTCTGATCATAATTTTAAAATTAGTGAATTATGTAATCAACCAATTTTTATAAGCTCAGAAATTCATGTTGTAGATTGAATAATTCAAGTAGTTAAGGATTTTTAATTATTAACATTACCGATTCAAATAAAACGTTTAATTCCTAATATTATAAATGTCTACAAAAATGACATTTAGGCTTTTTACTGTGTGTTAATCATAATACATGAAGAAGTGCAGATAGATTCATGCATACAAATATAAAAATTCCAGAAAACTTCAAATAAATATCAATACAACAAATAAACTTATTATTGAGATGATGGAGATTCGCAGCTTAGGTTAATGATCTTGGTGGAGTGTTTTTCTGTGAGCTGGATGGGTTGGTCGTGGAGCTTCCACATCATCAAGTAGAAGTTTTGCTTATAATGTCGTCCAGAAAGCTCTATCCCCAAACCATCTAGCTCACAGAACAAAACTCCACCAAAAACTTAATGTTCAAATTCATTGGAAATATACAAGCATATTAAAATAGATTTAGTTCATCAACCAGCAACTGGAACAAGCAATTCAATTGTAAAAAAAGTTGATTCTGTTTTAAGTACTAAATTGTTTGAATGTAAAAACATTGTTCAAAGATTCCGTACAACGCAATCTGAATAAATTTTAAAATAAACAAATAGATTAAAAGAACAATCACTGAAACTCATACTCCGTTATTAAAACTGAACTGATTATTAAAAATGATGATTAGTTTATTTTAATGTCAATTTTCAATTAAGATTAAATCTTTCCAGTGTAGCTTTACATTCAACTGAAATGTATTTACATGTGCAAAAGTTATATATATTCATAGTATACAAAAGATATTTTTAATAATGATACATCAAATCAATGTACTTCTCATGTATTAGTCACCAAAACTTAAATTGTTTTGTATAACTTAATCGGAGGATGGTGCCACACATTAGCCTGGATTTAAATTTACATGTAGATATTGTTTTTGAGTATGCAAACATGGAAAGTAACTACTGCTGTTATTATATAATTAATATATGCAAATATTAAGTATGTGTTTACTGGAAAACCAACCATTTATTTCCGTTTTCAATGTAGTTTTTCCAGGTTCCGGTAGATTGAATTGATGATTAATCAATTCCTCATTTTCATCAATATCAACATCATTTGGATAGCATGAATCAGCCATAAAACCATCTGATGAACGTAAAATTTTCATACTATCAGGAAGAGCCCATAATCTAGAACGTTCAGGTGGTTTTCTTAAAGAGACAACTCTTTTCAAATTAGTCATTTCTGATTCATGAATATCTAAATAATTATTCAATATTGCATTGTCCGATGGGGATTCAAACACTCTTATATCTTTTTTTACAACTTCATTTGGCTGTAGACTAGCAGATTTTCTAGAATATGGAGACAATGTTGTTGGTAATTCACTTGATTCTAATACCTGAATTTTTGCCATTTGTGTATTTGGCATCATATCTTCATAAGTAATTTGTCCTAGTGGTGTAGTAGTTATATTTCTTTCGCTTCTCCATGTTTTACAAGTGGTAGGTGTTGTACTTGAATTTCTTGGCAATGCTGTCCACAAAGGAGAACCAGTAATATCGCGTCCTGGATCAGGTGTATGAGATTTAAACATAGGACATGTTTCAACTGAACCACTATAAGCAGAGTGACTTTTATATAAACCGTTGGAAAACCCTTTAGTAGGTCTACTATAACGAGTTGGTGTTGTACTATGAGCACGATTGAAATGATACGAAGTTGGTGAATACATTCTTGGAGTTCGAAATGTATGCTTATGAACTTTGTTAGGAAGTATAAATTGTTGTTTTATTCAAATTTAGCACAGCATATTTGGTAAATAAATATATATATAAACATAAAAAAACACAGTGAGCGCAATATAATTTGCATACAAAAATGGTGAACACATAATTGAATCATGATTAGCATGCAGAGAATGGAAGTAAGAAAGAAAAGGAAAGTTATTACAGAAATTATTAACGGAAATGATTATAAATAAATAATTTCTTTCACATTTCTTACAAATAAATTGTTTAGTTATAATTTATGAGATACTGTTTACAGTATGGGGTGTTGCAGAGATTATTGATCTAAATTGGACAACAACTGAAAACGTAGGTGCACTGGATAGCTGTCTCGCCCAACTATGCGGCTCCTCAGCAGTGCGCATCTATGAAACCTGATACGGTTGAGGAAGATGCCCACCAAAGACAATGAGAGGTGGTTGCGTATTGTAGAGACTCAAGTGATCATAGACTTGTACACAAATGGATCCTGGTTTGGGAGTTAAACATCCACATGCATACTAAAGATCCTGGTTTTGATCTTCTGTGTCAGAGTGCCGGGCTAAGAGAAAACAGCCATCCAACTCCTCCAGGTTTACGATGATCGCTTAACTTAGATAGGTTTGTAGCTTTAATAAGTAATTTTCTGTCTATGTTAAAAGTCTAGAGATAGTATGTTAGATACTTGAGTAAATTCTTTTTAATGTTGAATAACAGTCAGCAGGATCTAATACTCGTATTAGCTCCTATGTAACAGAAATAGTTATCACAATATTATTTTTTACTTCAAAGTAACAATGATATTATACTTCTAAATATTAAGTGACAATAAAGTTCTAGGAATAATGTAGTGAACGAAATAAGAATTGTATTGTTATCTTATGATAATGATGATCTATATCTTGGGTGGATCGTTTTGGTTATGTTGACTTCTTTGATCTGAATGTTAATAATATGAAACGTTCATTATGGTTGTCAACGGCATTGTCAGCGTCTACTTTATATGAAATTGAACTAGATAATTAGCTCAACAATAATCGTTGAGTCAAGCTGTCCCGATAAAGGAGGACGGTTGAGCATGGGGTTACTGACACCATGCTGTAGAAAACTAACTCGCTAAAAAAACGCTAACTAGAAAAAAACACAAATTCGATAATTATAATGGTAAACTGAGAATGTTGTATTTATTGTTATTTTGCAATGTTCACTGTGTCTTCTAAATCTTTCTTACCTGAAATACACAAAAGATTTTCTTCTGAAGAAGAATAGTAGGATAATTCACTTTATTCGTTACTTAAATATACTAGTGAATTTATATAAATATTTATATTTATGGAGATTACTATACCCTCTAATCATTGAATAAACATCACAGAGTACTAAGTGGCCAAAAGTGATTATACAATCTTTTACTATAAAAAAAACTTGAAAATTATAAATTTTTCAAGTAGATATCCACTTATCATAGTGTTTTATTGTTGAGCTAGAAGTGATTGTCATTTTCAGTAACCACCCTAATGAAGTACATACATTTTATGATCCTTATTTTGTATCATAAGAGATAATGGAAGCGATAAATTTGATTGAATTTCGACATTAGTAAAATATTGGTCTATTTATCTGAAATTCAATATTCAAGTTAATTTTTAAGCCACCTGGTTACTTAACATTTACAAGTTCAGTAAGATTATTACAATCCAATGGTTGTTTTTTCCTTTAAAATAACTAAATACACTCTGGATATATTAATACAACCTTATTCTCTATTTATATTTTCTTTATCTCATTCTGATTTGTCACTATTTAGCATGTATCAGTTTATCAGTCAAAGGTATTTTAGATAAGAAATTATTTAGTTTATCTAAAAGATGAACATATTTTCGTTACTTACTTACCTATCAAGTTTATCATTGAAATTATATGTAGTATATAGTAATCTAACGAATGACATGTAGATATTCTAGCTTAACTGTAATCTATAACACGATAGTAATGAATGTTTTTGATTATATATAGAGTCAATAATAATACAAAATATATAGGTTTTATCAAGGAGTATACTAGAACAGTTATAATTCTTTATGAAGTGTTATTAACACAAGAATGATGCTGATCTGTCAAGTTCCTTCTATGATAAAGTCTTATCAAGGCTTTGTATAACTGGTTAAGTATATATAGATAAGTATAGAAATAGCATTCAAATCTATCAATGAGATATGTTCGAAAGATTTACAACAATAAAAGATATCCTAATAACTTGTAATGAATTCTAAATCATTCACTGGATATAACTATTGTCAGGAAGAAGCGATTATGTAACTAAGTAATTTATTTATATTTCTATATGCATTATATTATTGATTAGTTAATGTCAATAGATTGATAGGACATTTAAAAATGACAAATATAATTCTAATTTTTGATATCGTTTTGATCAATGGTTAGCAACAATATACTCATATACTACTGAAATATATTTCTAAAGTGTAAATTCAATTTCAATCTATTGAAAATGTCGGTGTAATAGGACATTTCTGTTGAGAGGATGTATATGTTTAATTTGTGCAGATGATCAAATAAACTTTTCGATTTAAAACTGTTAATCTTCTTTATAGTAATTATATTTAAATAAAATGGGATTGAGAATCAACGGTGTGAAAACTTGACTATAATATACACTTTTATTGTTTGCATATAATGTAACATCACATATGAATAATTTACACTTTTCCTTTAGACACTAAATAGAAAACTCATATAAAGTGAGTGTTATATTTTAGCAAGGATTAAATTACGAGTAACTTCTGAGAAATATTAGTAGACTAATATTATCCATATATTCTTATTTTATAACTATTCAGTAACTAGATTGTGTATATCCATATTCCCCTTATTATAAGCTTCATTTTGACCTAAAGATTATTATTATACAATTTACTGTTCTTATTTTCAGTTTACTGATTACAGTCTCCCACGTTCACATCCACATTTTGGCTTGATCTTGTATAAATGTTATTTCCTATTTTATGGTGTAATGTGGTCTGTTTGGCTGGTATGTAAACCAAGTATGTTTAAAATAAACGATTCGCATAGCGGAACGTGTTATTGGCGTTCTGGACTCAACTGAACAGGCTAGGTGAACAAAGGACCAAAAGGATGGTAGGCTGTTTATACCAGTTGAACGTCATTGGTTTGGCACGGCACTAAGATTGAACAGATCGTAACTAGATTAGCGAATAAATCACGTGATAATAAGCCGGCCTTAAAGTCACAACAGTTAGAAAATAACTTTCGAATGGTCTAATGTTAGAATGAATATGATAATCCAGGTGTTAGATATTTCTTTTCCTTTCAATGAGTACCAATTATTTGCCTAACTGGATAACAATTATCGGAATAAATCATTATCCATTAGTTTAAAATATCATTAAGGAATAATTGTAAGGAGGTTTGGCAACTTAATGAATCAAAATACACAATTGTTAAAAGTCAGTAACAGAAGTAAACACATTTCTAGACAATATCTATGACGATGATGTTGTTAAAATTCACAGCTTAATTATCCTTTGAATATAGATAGACATACTTAGTTAAGTATCTAACTTAAATTATTGTTTCATGAATGTTATTTGTAAAATGAAACAATATAAATCTGGAATTTAATTATTACATAATACGATCAGTGTTAAGTTTCATTAGGCAAAAGTGATCATCACATGGTTCATATTTATAGTTCTAGATAGAAGACAATAAAGTCAATATGAATGCAAATTATTTTTGTGTATTTACGTTTATATATAAATATCTTTGGAAAAAACTATTATTCTATGAATATATAATTAATCATTGCCAAATTTAAATCAAAGTCTCGGTATTCAATTATAGCTTTTTATAATCTTCTAAGTGGTTTAATTTATCTTTTCAGGTATTGTTCTAGTTTCTGCATTATTTCAGTTTGTAAATCGTATATGAACTTATCGATTAAGGAATATTTACAAATTATGTCATACAGAAGTTTAGTGGCGGCCGGAATAGCTCAGTCGTAACGTCTCAAATAGTGAAGTTAATTGACGTGGTTTCGATTTCCACAAAAAGTATCGGTTACCTAATGATTACATATACGCCTTTTTGACAAGTGATAACTAGCCAAAAATCTGATTCCAATGTTAACAATCGACTACCTCCAAGTACCTAAGATCTCAGTTGATTTTGAATTTAAAGTAGTTGGGACTATACTAAGAAGTGTGCATTAAGTTGTTCTCAATAGAAATGTATGATTAAAACCTGTGACATTATTAGAGAAGACATTTCAGTCAGTTAAGCATTGGAATTAGAGATGAATTCGCCTGTGTGCTTCAAAAGTCAACTTAACCTATTCATTTTGGATGGTATTATATTGTCTACACATAATGGTCTAATCGTTAATTAAAAGAAGTTGATGCAAAAACCTGGCTATATAAATGACATGAAATGATTACCCATCTATTCAAGTTCCAAGTTTCATAGCCAAACAACCAGAACATTTCTTTTATAAAGGATGATATCATATTACTTAAGTGATTTGTTAGAATTTTTCTCAGTGTGATCAAAATACATCTACTTGCACATCTATTTGTATTATACGCCATATTATATAAAATACATATAATAATTAAGTTTTACCTTCAATCATAGACGAAGCACCACCTCCTCGTGCCAGTGTTGTCATTGATCCGACATGTGAATCAAGATCTTGTACACCTCGACCTATTGGTTGTAGTGTAATTGTTTCGAATTCTTCAAAGGCTTCAGTATTTCCCATAGATCTCTATAAAAATTCAACATTTGGTGTAAATATTTACTGCAAATAATATTTAATGTATGGCAAATTATTTATAAGCAATTGGCATTTCAGTTAACCATAGAATAAAAACTTATCTGTCAAGCAGGATAGTGAGTAGTAGAACAATGATGGAACTGAAGAAATGATCAATTGAACATACATGCATGTATAAAAAGTTTTCATTTGACAAAATGATAATCACTGAAAATCATGAGATTTTGTCAATCTTATAATTAGAAGCATTCTTGATACTAACATACCTTTTGGATTATCTCCTTTCGACCGATTTCCTAAATATTAATTCAAAATAATTATATCGTAAATGAGACAACATAAAAAGTAATATTACGTTGCTAGAGAGTGATTCTATAACGAAATGAAGCTTGTAAACTCTAATGATGCTTCATTAAGTCTCATCTTAAAGTTATATCTATTTGCTGCGATGGAGTGTAACCTTTAGTATAACTTCAATCTAACATGTTTTTAGAAAACGGTAAATTTTGTTGGACTTTTAGCCTATAAACTACATGATAGTCATTTTAATTAGGATATTCACTCAATTTATCGAGTATCGATGTATACAGTTTATTTCATTTTACAAATTAATTGAAAAAATTTTTACACTTTCAATGTATGTTAATGCAAACTAAACTATCAAAAAGTGTTTTTGACAGGGTTCTCAACTTATTTCTAATTTTTATTTTCTGCATTTTGTTGTCAAATTGATACTTATAAAATATGATATTGTAGTGTCTAGTACTGTGGTGTGCTCCACTTATACGGACAGACATAAGTAGCATATAACAGGGATTCGAAGTGGAATGTTTACCGTCAGAAGATTAGAATAAAAACAGAAAGAAAAAGAGAGCGGTCACAATGACAACAAGATTGAAGAAATGATGGAGTATGTCAAGGACAACTCATGGAAGATATTAACTCTGAGATGCAGGTACATTCAACTGACGAGTCCCAAATAGGATGAAAAGTGCGTTATAGCGACTCACGTGCTAATGGGTTTATTTTCATTTAACCCAGTTAAGCCCTTTTTGTTAACTTATTTAGCGGACAAAGCCATCCGCGCTATAACAATTTATTGTATCCTTATTATTATTTTGAGCTTGTATGAAATACGTATGCCTGAATATTGATTACTGCCTACGCATTTATTCATTCTGCTAATCTTACTACTAACCGCTTATTCGATTCGATTGCTCATTCATTTTCACATGGTATATATATATGTCCATTTTATTCATATTGAACACAATCGCTCACTCGCTCGCACGGTCTCGTCACGCTCTTGCTCTGGCTCTCGTTCGCTTGCTTGCCTTTCGGCACGACTCTTCTATGCTTGTTTAACACATCTGTACATTTGGATACATGTGTGTGGTTTCGCAATAAACGTAATCGACACTTCGTATTTGCCTTCTGATTAATATACCGTTGGTACGCTATATAGAACGGTTATCGCGACGAACTGTATACGAAGTTTAAGGATTATATCAAATACCGACCACCACAGCGTCCCGGATTCCACTGTTAGTCATTACCTATCTCTATTTGTGATGTCAAGTCGTTTTTATTTAATCAGCAGTTTAGCTGTCATTCGATTAATAGAATTAAGGTAGCACAAATGGTTATACAATTTAATGTAAGTTACTATTAGCTGATACTGAAAATCACATTTAACTATTATTAATACAAGGATATATATATATATATATATATATATATATATATATATAGGGTTAGTTTGAAAAGAGAACAGCTGATTTCATTGTATTTAATTTCCTAAAAGACGGTCACTTATGCTTGTCAATTTTCACTATAGTAACTAATAGTGTTTTTTTATTATAATACTAAACAAATAATTTATAACCAGCATTTAAATGTGTCTATCCAAGGGCATTACAGGATACTAATGTAGCAATAATTATTATTTATGGTCTATAAAATAATATTTACATCCCACAGTTAATAAATCGAAACTGACTAGAATCTAGGTTGTTTTTTGTAAAAACTAACTCTCAGCTGCTTATTCGATCACATGTTATTGTAGGTTCTTTGAAATAATGTACAGATTTCATTTATTAGATTCTTTTAATTAACATATTTGATGTAAATATGCTTATAGATAGACAGATAATTATTTAAAGGAATACGTCTTATATTTTTTTTGGAAAAACATTCTGAATGTGAATATGGAGACAGATTGGAAGAAGTGATTTAATTACATAATCAAATGTAACTAAAATGTTACATTATTACATTTAAATTATCATTGAAATACAACTTCATGAAGATTTTTTCAACATAGATATCTATATTCAGATAGTTGAGAAATTTGTATCAGAAGGGGTTTTGAGGAGATTGTAGTGATTTCAATAGTTGAGATCATGAGTCAATTGAAGCTGGACCACCATGGAAAACCTGGAAGCACTGGACGGCCGTTTCGTCCCATTGTGGGACTCCTTAGCAGTGCTCATCCGTGACCCCGCCACGCGGGGTTCGAACTCCGGACCTATAAGTCTCGCGCGCGAGTGCTTAACCACTAGGCCACTGAAACGACATCCAACGGTGTTAGTGTCTAACTTCAACTAATCCACGAAATTGAGTGACACATTCACCGTTGTCATCAGTGAGTTACTATCTCACAACTGACTCGGTTGAACTACACTGGTGGTCTAACTTAAATTAACTCATGATCTCAACTACTGAAGTTGAAAAATCATTAATTTTTATTAATAAATTAGCATTAATTTCTAATGATTAGAATAAAAAGAAAAGCTGATTATTAAGATATGTTACGATTCTATAATTTTAATGTTTGGGATGTGTACTACTAAGGAACCCCATGCTAGGAAAAAACTGCTGTCTTGTGCTTCCAGATTTTCAACGGTGATCTAGCTTAGATCGACTCATGAATTCAACTATCAAAATTACTACAATCTTCACAATTCTCCATAATTCAAATAATTTTTGACAAGTTAAAAATAAGATAAATTATCTTAAACATTTGTAAATAGTATAATATTGAATATTCTGACTGGTAAAAGTAAGCTTTAGGGGTAAGTCAATTAAAGTCAAGACTACAACCTTCATGTTCTTAAACAAAATTCAAGTGTTACGTATCACGAGCAGTAGAAATACCCTTGTATACTGTTCAGAAAGTTCAAAATGGCAGAGGAAAAGTTTTTCCACTATGAAGTAAACATGAATTAAGAAATAAAGAAGAATTAAAAGAATTGAAGAATTAAAAGCTGAATTCTGTTTTTGTAGATTGTATATAATGGGCAAATCGATACCAACACTAAATCCTAACCCTAAACTCTTCATTTAGAAAAAGACCCCTTACCTGTTGCGGCTACCATGTAGTAGAATTGATGGATGAACCTAATCAGAGATTTGGGACGAAATATATCTATACATGTAGCTACAGAACATTTTTGCATTGTAGCTAACGTTAGGTTTTGATGAGAACCTCAACTCTAATTACTTAACCCTGGCCAGGAACATTGTAAGGACTCTTAAAAATCGATTGAATGGTTTGACAATATAGAAAATCTTTATCCGTTAGTATAAATTTACATGTCGTTGTTATTTACATTTACAGGCAGACAGACCCTAATAATTATGTAAACTCCGTTTATAGTTCACAATAATTACTGTTTTATTTTAAACTATCCATTGATAAAAAGCTTTTTTTCATTGACCAGAAACTAGCTGGATATTAGTCGTGATTGTTTTAAGCATGGTCTTACACCATACTTTTACCTTATTTCTCACCTATTCGATTGGAACCAAGTCAGTGATATCTGATCAGGAATAAAATTATGGGTATTTTAGGGAAATTAGTGCGTTTTCCAAAATTCGACTTGTTAATTAAATAAAGACAGCATTTATAAATCCGGATTAATTCACTTAAATTCATATCTACTACATATAACCTTTGCACAAACAAAGGAAGTATGAATATATATGTGTAAAAAGAAATTTATCTTTCCAAGATTAACTTTTATGAGGAATGAAAATGTAGAAAAAATAGTTGGATGACAGATAAACATGTTACAATTCAGAATTCATTTAAATATGAAACTAACTTTTTAATCATCAAGTAACATATTTAATTACATGGTTCACATTTAGCATAAAGTATCTACTCTCATAAACTTCAACTACATCTAACAATTCATAGATACATCTGGGATAATTAAAAAGCAGATGTTTAGAGAGAATAACAGTTTTTATATTTTTTAAAGATGTTCCGAGGAATCCATATCCATTTTAATGTTGAAGTTATTTTTAAGTAATAAGTTAGGTTATAGTATACCTAACAGTAAACATCAAATTATCAATGAATATTTCAATTTCTATAATCCACTATTTTTCACTGAATTAATTTCATTATCTACACTGTAAATTACTGAAATGTCTATTATTTATGAATAGTATTTAAGTTTTCAATAATGTAGTCAGTCAGTCAGTAACAACGTAGAACTTCGTACGTACGTACATTAGTTCGAGTTGACATACCACATTAGCACAGAGATTCAGTTGTCGATTCAAATCCCGTAGTGGTAGAGGTAGTAAGAGTATAAGCAGTAATCGTAAAGATCAGCGTCTGGAAATATTATTCAAGAAAAAAAGGGGACATGAAGACTTCAGGGGATTAGAATTTGGGAGAACACAAAGAGTGGATGCACCTGTGTCATTGTAAACGGTTTTGAGTCATGTCATTTAGGGTCTCCAACCATCGGTTGCTATCATCTCGCGGATAACAACCAGGTAATCTACACATATCAACATGGCTCAGTCCATTTGTCAGAGAATTCATGGGTTTGTGCCATGTTTTGGTCTGGCCACCCCTATCTTTCTTACAACCTACTCCTACACCAGAAAACATCACACATCGGGGCTGGGCATATGTAAAATATAACCCAGCAACCTCAACTGATAAGGTCTCATTACTTCATCAATTGATTTGCCATCCTTACTTAGTACCCGACTTCTAACAACTACAATACTTACTCGGTGGTCCCAGGATATACGAGCAATGCTTTGAAGACACCTATGATCGAATACTAGTAATCTACGAGTATCTTTTACTCTTACCGGCCATGTTTCACTGATATAAAGTGAGACGGAACGAACTGCTGCGCAGTAAACCGGTCCTTTGGTTGGTAGACGGCTATCTCGCCTACGCCATAAATGACGCAAGTTGACAAAAACTAATCGAACCTTTTTTATCCGTTCTGAGAGTTCGTCATACATCAGACACGCTCAACTACTTCACTCCCTATCATTAGGTCGGGTGTCGATGCAACCCAATCCTGAAGCAACATTTTACATTTCTAGGGTGAGAATCTCATCCCGAACATGCTAGCATTTTTGCTTAGAGGGGTCAGAAGACTGTGCATTTTGTCAGCGTCTTCATCAAATAGAACCATGTCATCGGCATATTCTAAGTCAACACGTGAATTTCCCGGTAGAAGTTCAACTCCTGGAAATTTAGATGAGAAAAGTGACATCTCTAAAAGCACATCGACGACAAAGTTAAACAAGAATGGAGAGAGTGGACAGCCCTAACGAACACCATTCAATAATGAAGAATAGTTGTAATTCAGTAAGAAGATTTTAGAGGTGTTGTTTCTTCAATATGAGATAACTATTTAGTTGATTTATATTCTTGCACTTAAATATTTTTATCACAGTGAAAAATATGTCTTTTATTGTTGCTTTATAAATTCACTACAGAATCGATTACATTTTGCATTGAATTATTTAAATAGTTTTTATATTTCAAACAGTTGTCTTCATAATGTATTATCACCATGAACTTTATGTATTCCATTCTAGGTTAAAACTTTCTAACTATATGTGTATCGTTTTACAGAATGATAAGTTGCTATAAAGTTGTTGATTACTTCTGAAATTATGGCATAAGTTGCCAGTTTGTCTCGTTACATCTCATGTAGAATTTAGAATTCCAGAATATGTGAGTTGACATTAAGAAATCCAATCTCTGTGTAAAGAAGATGTATTGTATAACCCTCCTACCTTATTATAACTATCTCAATTCTTGTTATTGATAGTTTTGTCATCATTCTGAATGATCTGTTGAGTGATATTTATTGGAGTAAAAACAATGTGTGTAAGTAAGTTGGAGTGACTTTTCATTATAGGACAGAATTAAATACACAACTAATTTAAACCAATGAGCATTTTTCTAATCTAGCTGAAAACTTTCATAAAAGTACACTTAATGCTTCTTTAGAGACCAAACTCTTCAAATTCAAGCTTTGAAAGGAGTCAGGTACTTTTTGGTTCACTGAGTTGAAATTCAAATACCCTACGTTTTTGATTTCAGTTAGTTTGGATTATATTACATCAGCTTCATTCTGTGTCGTCGCTAGTATTTGTCTCAATACATTCCGCATGGATTCCATTTCATTCATATATGTTCTTCAGCAAGAAAGTGAATAAGCCCAAATGAATGAAAGTTGACTGGATAGTTTTTAGACAATGACGGTTTGATTGATATTTAACAATAAAGCCTTTTATAAAGAAATACTTTTCATTCGTCTTGTTAGTAGCTTATGTGTAAGGATTGTGATGAAACAAACCTAGATGGAATATACCTCATAGTTCATAGTGATTACAGAAAAAAGATACTTTTCATCATATCTGTAAACATCCATCAACCTGTTTTAACTTACATTAACTGCTGAAGTTGAACGGTAATGTTGTTGTTGGACATTAGATTGTTGATAATGACGGTGATCATGTAGTCCAGTTGATGAAGCAGCCATTTGTCTTAATCTTGTCTGCCTTAATAATTCTTGTTCACGTTCTTGTTTCAAACGTTCTCGTCTGGCTGAATAACCACTACGTGCCAAACGTGAAGATGATGATGATAACATTTCACGTTTATATGCTAAATCAGACTCTGAAATAAAGTTTATAATACACAAAGGGATTTTTAAACAGTTTAGCAAAATTTGTATTCCTTATTTAGATGTATGTTATTAAGTTATTCTGCTAAATTCCTTAACAGTATTTGAATTGGTGATCTACAGATTTCGAATGAAGGTTTTTTTTGAAAACGGAATGATCCAAATTGTTACTCATTTTCAGATAGTTTGTAGGTATCTGAAAACGACATTTAATTTGAGGTAGTTTGAGGTAATTAATCAAAACCCGGGTAATTTTTAATGAATCATTTCATTATTAAAATCGACAAACAATTCCGAAACATTTTAATGATAAACTCAAGTACATATTAGGTTTGTTTTAATGGAATACGCTGAATGAAAGTATTTAGACTATTTGAATAACCAATAAAATTATCCATTTTACTCATTATTCTACTTCATATCTTAATGTTGTATAAAGAAATGAATAATAGTCAAGTATTTCAAAATAAAATGTTTTCTATAGTGAATTAGTATTTTAGGAAAATTGAAATTATATCGATGGAGGTTTCCTAGAAGTTAGAGAATAACGCCAACTTGGGCATCATCAAAATTTTTGAGAGATTTAGTAGATGCTTCATTTAGTCAGTATATAGAGCCAGGGGTCGAACCATAAAATCTTAAGCCTCGAAAAAAGAAATAATTTTTAGATTATTAGTTTGGAATGCAATCGTCAGTATTTCAAAGTTCAGTCATTTTTACGATATAACACAGCTCGTATGCGATATCACTAGTACTGACTAACTCACACCGTATATAACTAATTGAACTGTACAGGTCATAATTTATCTTTTTTTAAAGGTATTAAGTTAGATCAAGTTCATACTGTTAAGGAATAAGGATTAAACGATAATGAAGCTGTTCATTTTTATTACGCTTTTGATGGAAGTATGTAATCATTTTAGTAACTATATAATATTAATGGATTTTTGACAGTTTGCCGGCATCCAGCGGTGTTAATATCTAACTTCAACCAACCCACAAAATTGCGCCTCGTCTACCATTATCTTCAGTGAGTTACTGTCTCACAACAAACATGGTTGAACTCCATTGGTCACGGCTTCTCACTAGAACTCCTCTTGAAGTCAGTCACTAGTGAGCAGTTGATGATTATTATCAGAAAGGGTATTTTGTGGAGATTGTAGTATATTATAAATTTATTGTTCGAATAAAAACTCACCAGATCCTTGATATGATCGTAAATTCCATGATCGTGGACCATAAACATTTGTATGACTCATTGCACGTTTAGGAGCTGAGAAATTTCCATCATTTGAAATAATTTGTGATTTGTAAATAGCTAGAATATTTGGATAACACACAACATACAATTGCCAAAGCACAAATATTTATGCATGCATACAATCAAAGGCATTGGTACATACGAACAGTACAAACACGCACAATACAAATATACGCACACATACACACACGTATATACAAACCAGTTGAGTAGTGAAGAAAAGAAAGAAAAAGAAATAAAAACAATCTATTAATTTGACAATTTCAACGTATATTGGTAAATTTTGTGGTGGAAACAATAATAATAATTATTATTATTATCATATGCGGTAGTTATGATAGTGTGACTTTTATTGCCATGATCATGACAAAATCTGTATAAAGAAACACACGGAAGATGAAGCAGATGAACATCCTAACCAATTATGAGAAAAAAAATAATACTGGTGAGACATCAATAATCATTATCTAGGGATGACGAAACGGATTAGTGGAATGACATGCACTTTTTTTTTGTTTAGAATCATGAAAGTAATGACCATGATAGTGAATAACACAACAGTAGATAAACTTTAATGAATTTATTAATTCTTAGATATTTTTTTCAGTCGATTTCTCATGATAATCGGATCAGGCATGGCTATTTATGTGAGACTGAAACAAAAGAATTCAATTCAACTATTTATACATGTAATATTGATTAAACAGGTTGGAGATAGTTTGTTTCTTTTCTATTTGTGAGAGGATTCTCCAATATATATAAATATATATTAAAGGTTAGCTACCACCACATGACAACACACATATAAGTTAGGAAATTACTTCTAGTAAAAAAAAAACACACTAGTATAATGTTAGCCTGTCTCTCAAAACAGGTATGATAATTTGCTTGTTGTCAGAAAAACAAAACTTTTGAGAAAAAAAAGGCCTAACTGATGCATTTATTATTTTAAAAATATAATGGGTTTGTATGTGAGCGAGAGTACACCTTGTTGTTGTTGTTGTTTTAAATTTGCAATTTTACATAAAGCATTATGATGTAAAATTTTGCACCATTAAAATTCCATACATACTGACCGACCTGGTAGATTTAAATAACTTGATTGATTTTTTAATTGATTTACTGAACTCATACCAAAAATAACAGATAAATCATCACGATCCGGATCATGATTATGATTATTATGTTTCTGTAAATCATGCATATTTAGAGAATATGGTGTAGTTGTTATTTCAGTGCATGGAATTGATTGATTATTTTCTGGACTGTTTGTTAAGGAGGTTAAACGTAGTCTCAGTTTGTTATTTTCTTCAATAATCGTTGATTGTGGTTTTTTAAATATTTTTTGTAAAAATGTGTTTCCTTCCTTTTTATATAGATTATTGGTTGTGGTCTTAGATACCATTTCATTCTCTATTGAAACATTAGTCGTCATTGAAGTTTCCGTTGTATTTGTCGGAGTTGCAATTGATTCATTTTGTATGACTCTGTTAGCTAAATAGATAATTGATTTATATATTCACGTGAATGAGATAGTACTTATACAACGACGAAAACAATCGTTCATACAATCGACTGTATAAACTGAAGATAATCGTCCCTATAACGTGAGCTTGTTGAAGTAAGTAAACATAATAGGTAACACTGATGTATTCACTCAGGGACTGGAATTTACTTAGTTTCGATTCAATTTAGGGTTAAAAATGAACGTTACTGACAAATACAAAAAAGAGCATTGTGCTGTTTGATTCTCAGTAGATGTTTAGTTGATGTCAATCCATTTTGTAAACCATTTAGTTCAAAAAGAAATATTATGTATTCGTTCACGACTTTACTACTACTGTTACCACTACTGTTGCAGCAATTAACCAACTATGTAGTTACCGTTGCCAATATCTGACTTCATGTTACATCACAGAATAGTCAGTGTTCTCGAAACCGTTAAACAGGTTGAAAAATGTTGCAGACATTGGAAAACATTAGTTTTAAAGCATTCCCCACATTCTACGGAAGTAACGTGTAAGTGATGATAAAGTTCAGGACTTTATCATGATAATTAAATAGGTGTTACCATCTTGAAATACTTGCTTTGTATCGTCACCCTAGATGTTTAATACAGCGTTTGTCAACTCTGAGACTAAGTGGAAAGGCGGAGAGATGATCATCATATGATATTGTATTGTGAATTGAAAGATAGTTGTATTGAAGCCGTAGCAGTTGGTTCTTCCTAAAGTGAATGGAATCCTAAAAATTGTGCAACTCAATAGCTAGACTCATGACAAGGTTTCTTGAAATGAAAATCAATAACGATCCTGTGGTAGTTTTCTGTTACATTTTTTTTGTAGAGCAAGATGTAATCCTCGCTTCATCATAATTGAAGTGGATTGCCAGTAAACGCTATTCTTGTTCGTCCATTAATCGACTATTTAGTCTTTCTATCTTTCAGTATACGATTTTTAGCTTTAAAACAATATTACCCTACTTTTTAATTGCCAAAACTTGAAATAAATAAGTAAATAATCAAATAATTGGAGTCAGAGTAGCAGAATTATAAAAATTATGGATTGTTTGTAGTTGTTGGCATACCCAATTCTATCCTAATGTCGGTATATTTTCTACAAGAATTCAGACATCGAAAATTAATTTGAAACAGGAATTTAAATTTATGTACCCTAGCTTACACTCAGCTGAAAATTCTGATTATCATTATCATCAACTCCACAATTCAAAGCACGAATATATTAAAGCATTGAGGATGTTTAAGGTTACGATTGCTTAATGTTCAGGTTTAACAATTAACTTTTAACGTAATATTATCCACTGAACCATTTTATTTTTTGTATCTCAATCTATATAAAAATTTATGTAGATTGAGTATTGAAATTCTTCATCAACTGTGTAACAATCTAATATTTCATTATTTATGTGAATGAGTACGATAAACATATAACGTCTATTTTGTAATTTCAACAGTTGAATCAATGAGTCGATCTTAGCTAGACAACCATTGAGAACTTTGAAACACTTGATGGCCGTTTCATCCTAGTATGGGACTTTTCAACCGTGTGCATCCACAACCCCACACGCTCGACTCGAACCCAGGACCTTCGGTCTCGCGTGTGAACGCTTAACCTCTAGACCACTGAGCCGGACATCCAACGGTATTTTTAATCATTTCAACTTTATGATTATGTGCTGAGTGAATTGAAGAAAAAGCTTTAAAATTATTAACATAAATTTGAATAAAGGAAAATAGTGAAGACAATTTTAAATGCAAACATAGGATTAGAGGGTCAGTGGCATAAAGTATGCATTAAGTTAAAGTGAGAAGAATTCTTCATTTTTCTTCCTTAACTCTATGAACTTCTCTTCCTGTCCATAATTTTAAAGATATTAAGCTGGTCATAGTTGCTTCGTTGATTTCATTTCTTTCTCCAGATAAATGAATGACTGAACTATCTCGATAATGCAGGTGATAATATTAACTTTTGTTGATGATTCCATTTAGTGATGTTCAGAATTATTGATGAATTTGAATGGAGAAGTAGAACGGAGAACGATATAATCACAAAATAATACGTGGAAGTCCGCTAGAAAATTTGTTGGAGAATCATAATGAACTTTGATAGGTTCGTCAATTAAAGAAGTGCCTGTAAATTTCGTCATTATTGCAGATCAAGTTGAGAATCAGATTAATTGTTCAATATATTCAATGAGGATCTCTTAAACAAATATCTAAAATATATACCCCAAAAAGTCCAACTCACGGTTTTTTTGATTGAATAGACCAGCTTGTCTACCTGTAACCACAATACTATTATGATTACTATTAGTATTTATACTGGCATTACTGTAGACTGTAAACGGAGTTTCTTGCTCCGACCAGTATACTTCTTGATGATCTTCTAGATGGTAATTATTTTTTATCAGATTAGGAATATAATTATTGGTTCTATTCGGTAATGTAGTGTGATTCACTAATGGTGTACTAGTTCGAACTTCTTTAAACACTGGAATTTCATTCTCTTGTCTTATCTTCACTTGTCCTCCGTTTATCACATCTTGTCGACTGTCATCTACTGTAGTTTCTTCATGTATTATACACGTTGGTCTTTTGTTTAGACCAAGAAATTTCTTATAATCACTATGATTATTTAAAGCACTTCTAGTCATTATCTGTGAAGCTGATTCACTAGATGATGAATGACTTTCCAAATCAAATGGATTATTATTAGAAGCATTTGGGAAACAATAACGACATTTTGTATTGTGACAACTGCGTTTTAATCTAATTGCATGTGGATTATGAACTACATAGGATAATGGTGCATGGAGATGAGGGTGAAGTACATTTCGTTCATGATCTACTTTACTATAGATTTCTGAATTGTATGGATTATTTCCTGTTGAATTATTTTGATAAAGATTTGAATAGAGTTCATGATTCTCTATGTACTGATTACGTTTCATTTCTTTACAAAGTTCCGTAGTCATTTTCTTTATTATTATTTTTAATTAGATGCAAAAAGCTTGTTATATACTCAGATACTACTTGATCAGTTGCTGAAATGAACAGATAAATAAAAGAAAAAGGATAAAAATAGGACTGCAATATATAGCAAACATGTTATATCATACACATTAATCTCTTTATCATCTTGATAAGAGCAAAATAAAGATTAGTGCAGAATAATATAAACTAATTAAGTTATTTCGCTAGATTCTCATCAACTGCTTACAACCTATTTGATATTTTAAAATCGATATTGTCACGTAAATGTAGCATACTCCTTTTAATCACCTTCATATTTAAGTATGTTGATTTCTATGGTTACTTTGATTTTAAAATCTTGAATAGGTTGTAAGCAGTTGATAAGAATCTAGTAAGACATAATGAATTCATACAATTTCGTAACAATCTTTGTTTTTACTCTCTTTAAAACCTGTTATGTAAATAAACTGAATATATAAAACTATGAATTATAGATCAACACCCTTGATTTTCAAGTACCTAATTCCAGTATAAAAGTGTTTTGGTAGTGTTAAATTCTCTAGAC